AAAGAAATAAACAAGTTTGTTATTGCAAGGAATCATTGATATAAGGATATAATTTCGAGATTAAGAAAAAGAGAGGATCAAGGATCGATCTCGATATCCACCATTCTGAAGTTTCCAGCTCAGAGTTGAAAACCTGTGAAAAATCGGTTTTTAATTTTCGAGCATTTCTGGTGTCATATTATTTGAACTAATGATATATTAAATGAACGTAAGTTTTAAATTAATGTTTATTTAGACTAATTAAAAAGGATACAGTCCTCAAATATGATAAATTGATATGTTTTTTAATAAGTTCATATTAACACGATTAAATTTTTATTTGTTTAAATGCTCTAAAAGCCGGCTTGTGAACAGCTCACGTGGATTTAACGGTTCTGTCAATATTTCAGAAAGCTGTGACTTCCGATGCCAATTTGACCCCTTTTACATAACTTAATAGCCCTTTTTCTTAAATATTTTTTGTTGGCATATACATTTTGAATGAAAAAGTATTAAATAAACAAATCTGTAAGTGTGAGCTGACTTTAATAAAATCGGATATTAGTTCAATCTATATAGCATCGTATTTATAATTGTTACCAAACGTAACTTTTATACAGTAGGGATATCCAAAAAAGAGGATTAATAAAAATCAAAAGTGTGTACATTGGATACTCAGGTTAAGCGATCAGGATTGAGGATAACCCATTCTAAAGTTTTCAGCCCAGACAGTATGAAATTCATACAGCCTTCTTTGAAGTCTTAGTTTTATTTGTTAAAATAAAACTTCTCAATATCTTCGTTATTTTTGTAGGAAGACCGCACTTTGGAAATCCCAGAACTGGGGAAATGAGGGGTTTTAGTATTTTTTAGAATGATGAGAATAAGAACTGAATATTTATTTGAGAACTAAAGGAATCCTGCAATGAATGATTATTCTTGCAAATAAAAATGTAATAAAGACAAGGAAGAAGATGAAATTAAAGTTGAAAGCTTGAGTGCCATTTTGAATATAACCATGAGATTGGGGGGAAGGAGGGGGGGGGGGTGATTATATTTTTACAGTGCTAAAATATTTGATAATAAAACCCTAAGAGAACTTATTTACTAATATTTTTTTTAAAAGTTCTCCCCCCCCTTTGAATTTGGCTCTAACAAGACGGAGTCTATTTCTCCCGAAGGAAATTAAATATATTTCTCAAATATTCAACCGAATATATAGGGTCTGGGACTCTGGAGTCTGGATGTCCCAAGAAATATGAGATCTGAAAGTCGACCTGAAGATCGCATTTGATCTTTGAAATATTTTGCGACATTTATTTGTCAAACTATGATTATTATATTTGTACCACAAAATCATATACCAGTGTAGCTCGTGTAGCAAAGCCCTACTCCGTAACAAGTCCTCGAAACGTATCCACGGTTACAATCCCGCGAACAACGCATCTACCACTGGGCGCGATCTCGGTAGCTATCAGACCAAGCTATTAATCCAGGCTCTAAATGCCACACAGGGACACAAGCGTAGCTATCCAACAAGCTATTACTTATCGATCCCAAATTGAAGGGGACGATCCCCAGCCTGTTTATCAGAACAGGAAACAATTACTCTCTCGTAGTAAACAGTAAAGAGTTACTCTATCAACTGAGGGTATATTTCCAGTTTAGATTAGAATTGTGTTATTAACATCAGCGAATTACAAGTTATACGCTGTTATTTATATATATATATATATATATAACGTAGTTAAACAAGCACAATATGGGTATGACAGAGTTATATACATCTACGTACACAGAATGGGTTAATCGCAATACATGATTTACGCATTTACTATTGGCACATTTAGCTATGTGGTAATGTACAATGAGCCTTTCTAATTGCTACACCAGGACTAATTTGTAGATTAATGTTTCAAGAACCGTTCATGTACACGTAAGTTGACAAATGAATGGTAAAGATTAATTCAAAGATCAAAGACGATTTCTGATCTGTCTCTCAGCTGTCAGTATTCATGGGACACACTGTATACAGTGTACACGACATCCAGTCACCATGCTTATTCTTAACTTAATATGTTATGCAAGAAAATTTAATCGTCGTCTAAACCTGTAGCAACAATGTAACAATTACAGGGTTATCCATAAAGCATAGTCCCTTTATTAAAATATCTAAACTTCGACAATAATCTAATATGTTGAATTTACTCTACTTCCTTGAAGTCTTTAAATGTTAAACCTAATGATTTGGAAAAGAAAAGAAAAAGTTCAGACCTGTAAGTAGCAAATATGAATGCAACCAAAGTCCTTCCTCGGGTTTCTGAAATCAGAAAAAAACTTAATTAATCTATTTAGAGAGCACAAAAGTAGGCAAACCAAGTCTTGGAAGTCCCAGAACTACAAATCAATGAAGAAATATTTCTCAGGAAGACGACATAAATAGCAATAGCAAAAATTGTAGCATATTTCAAGATTTGCAAATAAAGACCAATAAACAGAGCATGGTCTCAGCTTTTTATATTTATTAATACAAATTGTTTCGGAAACAAAAAATTTCGTGGATTTTCAAAATTTTAAAAAATCTAATGAAGATCGAATTTTGATGGAGACAAATATTTGAAATTTTGATCATTCATAAATTCCTTCCCTGGAGTCCCTAGATGTTCCACAAAAAATTTGGGCCCGATCGGTTCAGCCGTTTTGACGTTTATTGGATTCAAACAAACAAACAGACAGACAAGCCAAATTTACATATAGATATATAAGCACTTAGCTTGTCTGTTTGTATTCTTGTTAAACGTCAAAACTGCTGAACCGAAAAGGGGTCCAAATTTTAAAATTTTTAAAATTCACGAAAAAATATTGTACAGTGATAACCAGAAAACTGTGGAATAGCAAGTTCTGACTATAAATAGTCGCATGAACATTAGAAAAAGCAATTGTACGGTGTAAAAAGACCCGATTTACTGAATAAGTGATTAAATAACTTACAAGTAAAGTTATTTGCTTTGTAACATCAAAAGCACGTTCAGTTTTGCTTTAATGTCGTATTCCTTCAGTATTAATTGCTAGAATTCTAAGCTCTTTTTTACTGCTGCAGAAACATGATTACTAGGGATGTGGTTTATAAAAATTAAAATTATAGTTTTACAAACTCCTAGCCCAATGAATGAAAAAACGAAAAGAGGGGCAACCCATCATTTTTGAGGGAAAAGGGCCCAAGGGGTGGAGTACAATATATTGCTTTTGTATATTCCATATTGACCAAAATGCCAAAAATCATATTTATGCGCTCTAACTTGATATATTAACTTATTTTTTGTTGGACTGTAATATCACATCACAGCTTTAGTCCTTTCCCTTCAACTTCTGTGGGAGCACTGGGTTTGTTTACATTCCTCCCACAGTGTACAATACACAACTTGCGTAACTCTGAGTTGGGCGTTCCTGTATTTAGTTCCTTACCTAAAATGCTACATTAGTGTTGATTTTTTTTACTGTTACTGTTACTGTATCTTACCTAAAATGCAACATTATGGTGGATTTTTTTATTCGCTAATATGTGAGATATGCTAGAGAATCTTCCTGTAGCAAATCTTAATGTTCTTGTTGAAACATATAGATTTTTTTCTTTCAATTTTACAGCTGCACTCCCTTCCTCGTATTCTAAATGATTATGTCCCATAGATCTCTTTGTTTGGTTTATCTTTCAGTTTCTAAATTTAATTGTATTTAAATGTTAAAATTATGAAGTACACCTGAGGTTTTCTTTATCCTTTCATTTCTTAATTAATTGTATTTTATTTAAATATTAAAATTATGAAGTACACCTGAGGTTTTCTTTATCCTTTCATTTCTTAATTAATTGTATTTTATTTAAATGTTAAAATTATGAAGTACACCTGAGGTTTTGTTTGATAAACTGAAACTTCGGCAAAATTTGATGTTTTCAAACAATTTTTATTCCTATTTTAAATTGACTAACTTCCCGTAAACAAGGCTGAGTAATTTCAAGTGACCATCCATACTCAGATGGCAGCGCTCAATTCAAAATGGGACCTTTCATGTGATCTCTAACAACATGAATGATTTGGTCGTTTTTCATGCAGTGATTAATTGTGATAATATTCATACGTTTTTTGCAGTAGACATGTGGAAATCACTTGTTTAGAAAAAGCACAATTGAAAATAATGTTTTCAAAAAATTATAAACATTAATATCTTAAGCTTTTAAGGGTACCGTTGTGCATAACATTCTGTAAATAGATAGTCACTCTAAATTATATATTAAAGAACAAGAAATTTGGTGTTTCATTTTTGTATCAAGGTATGAAATAGTGTAGAAAAATGATTAATAAGTGTAATCTATTCAAACGTTACCAATGCATTTTATTTTACGACTTATAATTGTGTTTCGTGACTAAAAGTAAGATTTACGACAAATTTTATAGAAAATGTGTGCAAAAATCCATTATGAATATTATTTACAAAAGCGCCTAACCCCATTATAATGATGAAGAATATGTTATTTTCGGGCTCTTAATTTAGCTTACTAGATTCTCAGCTTTATCTTTTAATCTATTCTCTTTTTTCAAGACTTGAATCTTCTCTTTAAATCTTAATTCACCTTTCCCTTTTTACTCTTCTTGGGAGCTCTTCTATCCTGTCGTATTTTTTCCTCTGCTCTTATCTTCTATTTTCATCTTCATCATACAATAAAATTATTACAAACAATATATTTTTATGTAAATCTAATTTATATGTAAATTTACAAATACTTGTTGGGTGACTTGGGTTTAAAGGAAATTCTATATCATAGATTTGATACATATTTGTTATTTCTATTTTGTACAACATATAATGCATGGATTCCAATTAATTTTTTTTTGAAGACTTTTATTTGAAATTATATGACTCATATTCGAAACTTGTATTTTGAGACTTAAATTCATGTTACCAAATTTTTACGGGATCGTGGTCAAAACCTACGAAAACTGAACAAGTGAGATCTTTAAAAGTAATTAAATATCGACAACAATCATTTTATTGATAACAATTGAAACACTTAATCTAAATAACAACTATTATGATGTTAATGGAAAATCCTCTATTATGATGTTAATGGAAAATCCTAAGGTCACAGAAAATAGAACCCTCACCATGACGATGTTCTTCTGTAAATATCTGACAGGTAATTGTTTCACATTTATAATTAGATTAGAAATAGACACCGACTTGTATTAAAGGTATCTTGTAAAATAAATTGTTAATTATAATATTTTTAATCATTTTTTCAAGGTTTAGAATAAATTGGTTTCCAAATAAATTAAAGTTTAACATTTCATTCTTGACTTGTTTTGACTTGGTTTAGTTCAGGGTGCATTGAATGATACACTCATTGCTTCTGATTCTCCACTGGAGGGTTGGGAACAAGACTCCATCTCTTGTTCAGGATTAGCTCCGGGTTGACTGGGTTGTGGCTCTATCGAAGATTGTTCAGGTTCAGGTTTAGCTCCAGATAACTGAATAACCGATTCTCCGGTAGGCTGTTTAATATTGGTCTGACATATCTGCGAGTTTTTACCTGAACCATTCTCAGAATTATTTTGAGTTGGTGATGTACTCCCGGACTTGAAACTTCCCGCATTTGAACTTCTTGAAACACTGGAGGAATTCATCTTCTTCTCCCACTCTGCCTCCAGTGAGGGGTTTATTATCATCCAAGACTTCTTATTTGCCAGCTCAAGTTTTCGTGGCTCCGCAAGTGGGAATGGAGCGTCAGCTTCAAAAAATATATTTAGATTCTCCAGGTGTGCTTTCATCTTTAACCTTTTCACACGCAGTACATCGCCATCCTCGGAGGTTCCTTCGTCAGCTGAGGATGATTCACAGCTGGAGATGGATTCATTCTCTAAGAGACCAAAGTTAAGATCCTCGACATCCTCGGGTCCGGACAACAGCTCTTTTAACTGCTCCCCGACCTCGGGAAACTGGTTGAGGACACCGAGGCGTTCTCGGTCCGACCTCAAGATCTCCTCGAGGCTTTTAACCTCTAGTTGGTAACAGTACTCCAGTTCCTTACTAAGTTCCACCTTTTCGTTCCAGAATGGTTCAGAGAGAACAGGTTTAGCTACGTAGTTCTGTACCTGAGTCTCGTCCCCAGATAAATGTTGTGAGTCCTCGTTAGTGAGGCTGTAATCCTCCGAGGTTTTCAGAAAAGAATAGAGGCTGGAGCTAGATGTGCTAGTGCTTTGTTGATCCGTCTCTTTTTCCTTAACAAAATTACGGTTACCCTAAACCATCCATTTATCTATATTTTAATATCAAATATCGTCTATTTAGAGTTTTTGAATATTTAATAAGGCACGATTAGAGCATATCAAATCCTCAGAGGCTCAACGTGACTTCTCTCAAATAAATTTGCATCACATGTTTCAACCATCTTTGAATTTAAGATGCTATATTATGAAAGGTTAGGAACGTGAGATAAAAACTACTCTGAGCCCAAAACTTAAGACAGGCTATCATTATGAAAACCAGTTTTAAAACCCGGGTTTCATGAATGGGATTAGGCAGTTTTGTGGATATCAATCTTTTTGTTATGAAATATTATTTTATTGATTTTCTTCATATTTTCCATTTTTTTAGAACCTCTTAAATCAAAATCTACACAAATGTTAAGACCCCAAATTGGAAACTTGGGAGTTTCGTTCAACAATACTCTTTTAACTTTCGGGCTCTGGGATTAACCCGTGGTAGCAAATTGACAATGTACATTGTACATGGACGGAACATACTCACATTCATAACCAGTACATAATCCCACCCATAGACGGAACATAATATTATCATAATGCCGATAATTTTTAAAAATAAAATATCATCCTATTATTACCCCACCCCCCTCTTTACAAGCACTTTTTAAGTAATGTAAATAGAAAATATAGGTGGAGAAACGAAAATCAAAACATCTGAACAACAACACCAGGTTCCACGGGCATTTCAGTGATATCAATGTGAAAATTAAAGGGACTGTACGCGTAATTTCAAGTGACCCTCCAAGTAGTCTTTAAACCTTTAACTGATCATCAACGGTAGAGAACTCCGTGTGTTTATCTCTAAGGTTTTGAAAATTGCCGAAAAATCGTAGTGTACACTCAGACACTGCGTACATTGTGATTCAAACATTAAAAAATAGAATATTCTTTGTCTAACAGGATTTTCGAAATTAAAATATTTAAATTCTGCAACTAAGTAAATATTACTATTTGCCTAAACACAAAACGCTACATTAAACAATTACAAGCGTTTTTGACGAGAAATAAGTCCGTTATCTTTGCATCAGTAAAGGGTTTAAAGGAAACCTTGTTTAATCGTACACGCCACTCTAAAACTGGAGAGTTATTTAAAATAAAATCAAAAGTTCTTTTTTTATCTCTTCCCTTTCTTTTTCTCGTATTTTTACTGTCTCTTAAAGGATGGAAAATAAACTTTTACGTCGTAAAGTGTAAAAATATTTTGCATGTGTATATTACAGTCGGTGTGGTCAAAAATAGAATTATTTCTTGCTTTTATCTCAGAAATAATTATTGAAAATTTTAAATATTAAAGTTTGAGATTTTAAAGATTTGTTTACCTTGGTGACCATATTCCCAACAGCCTGGAGTATTCCCGGAGAAAGAATAATTTTATCCTTTACTGATACTGAAGCATTAGATTCAAGCGCGCTCCCAGGCTCCCCCTTCACAGAGCTAGCTCGGGATCCGGCACGTGACAAAGGACGTGCAAACTTAGAATCATTATTGAAGTTTGGAATATTGGAGTTGGGACATATAATACAACTGTTGACAGCCAGACAGTTAGGGAGAGCTGGTTGGTGGGTTGGGGACTTGTTTAACTCCTGGTTGGTTTTACTGTTGGGACCCAATCCGCTGGTAGACGGTAATCCTGAAAAAGAAAAACATTTCATGAGTTTATTTGGATAAATCCTATTTTATTTGGCAATCTGTCGTGACTAACTTTCTATTTTAACCGAACCTTACCGAATAGTATAACCACACAAGAAGACAGTTTCGAATTTCGTATTTTTCTTGCATACTTTGTGTTAGTGTTACATAAATAAAATTNCTAAATTTACCCGGCCTCCAAATATACACGTCTCTTTGGAAAACATGTGACAGAGAGCTCCAACGTGCCGTGATATTTAATATACTTCAGGATTCTAATATATTCACCAAATATCTCAGTATTTATATTTTTATCCGATAATTGCCGTCCAATTATTTGCTCTATTTCAGAAAAAAATTTATGATATTAACGAAAAAATTATCAAGCAGAGTGTATGGCTTCTTTCCTCAGAAGGGAAAGGTTAGCTTGCAACCCGTGCTCTTAATCCACTAGATCCGGAACATTTAAGCTAATCCGGATAAATCCGGATCTGGGTGTCCAAATACTCACCAAAATCATAACAACCCACAGATTTTATATGAACAAAAGTTCTACATGAAAAAAGAAAAAGATTTTTTTATAATAAAAATGGACAAATCGTAAAAGAAATGTTCTCGAGCTGGATCTTTTACAGGACGGATCCTAGATCCGGATCCGCATCAAAATTTGCCGAATTCTAAGCTTTGCTTTCAACCCGGTGTACAAAATCTTACCAAGCTGTGAGAAGAATACTCCAGGAACGGTGTCAAGTACACTAAAGGGAACATATCTAGACCCACGCTCAAGCGTTATATTCATCCCGGAGGGAACCTTTATCAAACAAAGAAGTATTTTAATATCTACGATTCTACAATACAATATATAGTGTCATCCATCCTTTATTTGAGAGAAATTTCGAAATAACACAGTGATCATACATTTAATAAAATGAGTAGATGAGTTTGCATATCAATAAATATCAGAATGTAAATTGTGTAAAACTTGTGTATAATGTGCATTAAAATTCAATCAAACCCACGCCAAACTTAAAAAAAAAATTTAATTCAAGTAAAAATTCAAAAACGATCGCAATCAAAATCTGCCCGGAAATACTACATTTGCATTGAAAAATTTCATTTTATTCAATGTCCGAAAATTCAATAGAAATCTTCAGCATCACATGTTTCAACCATCTTTGAATTTAAGATGCTATATTATGANAAACAAATTAATTACCTGTGTGGAATTCTGATTGGGGTTTGAGGCCGAATTTCCACCGAAGGTCATGTAGAGAGTTGTTACTCCAACACTACTAGTAAATCCAGGAGCAGAGGTTGGAGTTCCTCTCTGCATCATGTTCGCCTGGTTGAATCCAACATGACCTTCATGACCCTGCTGACCTTGAACCTTGTTGAAACTGGCCTGGATCGGGATGGACTCATCGCAGTTAGCCCAGATCTGACGGTTCCCGGGCCTACCGAGAAGATCAGGTTCGAATCGGGAGATTGTTTTTCCTTCCTTGTCAAACGGGTTCGAGACTTTTTTAGAATTTTCTGTAATATCTCCTCCAGGTTGCCTTGATCCCTGCTGGATGTTTGCACCCTTCAGTGCAGTGTTCTGCGCTAGTTTGTATTTATGATCTTTCAGAAACCTAATGTCTCCCGATCTCTTATCTTGCTTGTATTTACACAACATCTTTCTTTCCATATCCTTGTTATGAATGACCAATAGCTCTTGGGTCAGAAGGGGCGGACTATACTGGTCTAGAGAAGTGTCTCCGGATCCAGAGCCAAGCCTAGATCCACTTCCGGATCCGTCTTGCGACATCATGCCATAATCGCGGCCGGATTGAACTTGTCCAGCGGATAATCCTGTCTGTAAGGTTGATGAGTTGTGTCCTGTACCGGATCCAGTTTGAGTTGGTTCTCCAGATGCTCCAGAGCCCTGAGCTGATCTCCCCCCGTCCTCCTTGTGCAGACAATTTTCTGCCTTCTTTCTAGAAGTTTCATTAGAACCGGATAGGTTTGTATCCTCAGAGGTCTTACTGTGACCCTGAGAAGCGTCCCTGTGCACATCAACCTTGTCTAAGAGAGTCTTTGGTTGACTATTGAAGAACCTTGTTAAGTTCTCGTTGTACGTCAGCTGTGTGTAGCTTGGTGGATTCTCTGAGGAGTCGGATTGATGAGGACTAATGTTTCCGATGACAAATGCTTTGATATTTCCTGACCTACTAAGTTTGTTGGACTCCGCCTTAGCCACCTCCTCCAGTAGGGATCCCATGAAGCTGGACAGCTCTTTCCTAGTCTTGGATGTGTTGTTGAAGTTTGTGTCTAGAAATGTATTCCTTTGTACTGTTTTCTTTAGCGTGTTCCTGATGTCGTTCTGAACAGCTATCGCGTGCGTTTCGGAATCCTCCACTAGGGTCTGGGGCTCTTCGGCTTCCTTGAGGAAATCCGCAAAAACATCTGGATGTCGAGGACCTTTTGTTACGGAATGTTTTCCGTTGACAAACTCCAACTGTCGGCTCCAAGGATTAATGAAGCAACTCCACCAACTATTTACCAAGATAAAACCTCCGTTCCTAACTTTGAACCGGATATTACGGGACTTGATAGCTTTACCTTGTTCAAGCATTGCGTTCTCGAATACCTCCTTAATGTACGGAAGATCTTGAGGATGGATAAACTTGAATATATCCTGTCCGTTTATATCCTGTGGTAGATATCCAAGATACGGTATAGCGGTCTCATCAATATTACTGAACACACAGGAGGCATTGTGCTTAGTGACAAATATATGCTGACCACTGTTCTCCTGCTTTATAGAAATATCCTCGTAGGGTTCGGAGTAGGAGGAGATCAAAGGGATCGCCGTTATGAACAGGAACGTGCTGTGAGGCCCTGAGACGGGATTAGAAGACTCCGGAGTCCTGCCGGATCCTTTAGAATCCATCTCACTGAAGCAAACAGAGAGCTTGAAGGGATTGTACCGGGTCTTTCTCTCCTTAACAGAAAAGCCAGACTTGAGTCCGTTGTAAATTCGAATCCTGCAAAAGAAGCATCCGCTCTTCCTGTAAGTATCCACCGCTTCTGGTTTCCCCCTGTCAGTGTGCTGATCCCGGAGAATAAGTCCAACATTTTCCGTAACTTGGTTGATAAAGGTTTCACGGTCCTGGGGATGAACAAAATCAATAAAACTTCGTCCGACCCACATATCCTTGGGGTATCCCAGGATGCTGGTCAGAGATGCTGTAGTCTGCATCACCATCCCGTCATGCAAGGAGACAGCGACGCAGAATCCGTCCCCCTCCTTCTTCTCGTGTTTCACGATGGTGTCCTCGGGAATCTTCTCCCTGTCCTCGAGGTTTAAGGATGGTTGCTCTGCGGCAGCCTGGATACCAAAATTCTGAGAACAGTAAATTGATTATTTACAGATATAAAGGGTATTGTGTATTGTGTATTGTGTATTGTGTACGTTTGACAGGGGCACAAAATTAAGGTTTTAAATCCAAAGACTAGAAAATACCAAACTCGAAGTTGTTTTAGAATAACAAACATCAGGAGTATATTTTACTCGAGATTTCAGGAACAGCTCAGACTTTTTCGTTAACTTTTTGTTATATTTATCGTTATTTAAAAATAATTTCTTTCTCTTTTAAAGATCTCAATAGTATTTATCCCTGCTAAATATGAAATATACCTTAGATGCACCAAGGAGATTAATCGCCAAATCATTTATATCATCGTCTGTACCTCTACCAGCCTTCTCAAACCGCAGGGCCTGTATTTTCCTGCATAAAAAAGTTTGTAATTATACATTATAATCTTAAAATCTCCTGCCGGTTTTTGCAGATTTACACAGTACTTGAATAGTTTCAACTCACAAGACAACCCCCCTTCCCCCTCTACAAGACAAAACTCGTTTAAAAAATGGAAAATGAAAGTTATGTTATGCCGGCTTTCAATTGTTTATTTAGATAAAATCTAGTTACTTTGACATGAACAATGCACACTGCACAGCGCACACTGTACACTTGTAAAACATGTTGCTAGCTTTCTTAGGAAGAAAAATTCGGAAATGAGATTAACAGTTGCCACAAATTCAAATTTTCTAATCCAAATATCACAGCAACATTTGAAGGTAAGAATTGTAGTTTTGCTAAGAAAAAAAAACGGAAAAGGTTTGAATTTAATTTTCTTCTTAATGGAATTTATGATAGAAGCCGCTAGAATTTCAAGGTTGTACAAACCTAAACTGCTCGACATAGCCCAGGGCTTGGGACAGGGAGGCTACTTTTGCAGCTTTAGATTCCTAAATAATGGTTTTATTAATAATTTGATGATTAAATTCTTCTTCTTCTCAAATACTTCATTAAACAAACAGAAACTTATAAGCTTATAAAATTATAAAGTGGCGTGTTCACCCTCTATATTTGCAGATAAGATAACAAACGTGATTATTAGATAGTCCATGAAAGAAGAACGAGAGATAAAACTTTTAAGAAATCAGCAAAAATTATGGATTTATGAATTTACAAAGTGGCTTGGTCGCCCTATATATTTTTAGATAAAATAACGAACTTGATGATAAGATATCCAATGAAAGAAAAATTAGAGAGATTTTTATTTTTTAGAGAAACAGAGAAAATTTAAGTCCAAAATCCTAAAAAAAACGTGGATAACTTTATAGCATCTCAATAATAAAATTTCCCATGAAGTGAGTATGAGTGATATAGTGCACAATTATTTCATATAACATTTTATTGCATTTCATAGCATCTCAATAATAAAATTTCCCATGAAGTGAGAATGAGTGATATAGTGCACAATTATTTCATATAACATTTTATTGCATTTCATGGCATCTCAATAATAAAATTTCCCATGAAGTGAGAATGAGTGATATAGTGCACAATTATTTCATAAAACATTTTATTGCATTTTATAGCATCTCAATAATAAAATTTCCCATGAAGTGAGAATGAGTGATATAGTGCACAATTATTTCATATAACATTTTATTGCATTTCATAGCATCTCAATAATAAAATTTCCCATGAAGTGAGTATGAGTGATATAGTGCACAATTATTTCATATAACATTTTATTGCATTTCATGGCATCTCAATAATAAAATTTCCCATGAAGTGAGAATGAGTGATATAGTCCAAAATTATTTCATAAAACATTTTATTGCATTTCATAGCATCTCAATAATAAAATTTCCCATGAAGTGAGAATGAGTGATATAGTGCACAATTATTTCATATAACATTTTATTGCATTTCATAGCATCTAAATAATAAAATTTCCCATGAAGTGAGAATGAGTGGTATAATGCACAATTATTTCATAAAAACTTTTCATTGTACCTGCGAGTGTGAGGTAGCAGCTCCTGTTTTATCTGCTGCTGATTTGACAGGTTCCATTGGACCACTATAGCTGATCTTAGCCTTCTTTTTCCTAGATAGCATTCATATATCAAGATGTATTAAAAAATACATAATAATGTATTGCAAATTTTTAGAATACTAAGAGTTATGAGAATATGAAAATAAAATACGATAATATATAAAAATATTTAAAAGATTTATTAGAAGATATAAAAAAATAAATAAAATGAATACATAAATATTTTAAAATACATAGAAATACAAATAAAATGTAAAAATGAATGAGGATTCATAAGAATAAAGATTTCGCGAAGTTCGTAAATGAAAAAAAGGCCAAATTATGTATCATTCATGAAAATTATTCCAACTTATCAATAAATAAATTATCATAACTTGTATAATCATTTCTATATTCTAACTTGTAAAGAATTGAATACAAAAATGTATAATAAAAAGAGATGAATAGATTAACCCCTGAAGGTTAACTATTCATCCCTTGTTTACCAACATCTAGGATAAAATATTTTCTCCACGTTGTAGTTTTTCAAGAAATAATAAAATTGCAAGTATTACCTTCGTATCTTTTAATTTATGTTGTTTTAATATAAACCTTGGAGGCCTTTCAGTAGGCTCTTTCTTCTCCAACATTGTTAAAGAAGCTTCCTGTGGTTTGACCGGTTCCGGGACAGCAGCTCCAGGTTGGGTCGATCGGCCGGAACAGCCGCTAGACTTGCTAGACGAGTTCTGCTTGCTGCTGTTGCTGTTGCTGGACAGGTTTTGTTTACTGCTCCTGCTTGTACCATGGCTGTTGCTGTTACTGTTGGACTGACTGAAAGCCAAGGAGCTGTTCTTAGGTCTAGAAAATATATTAGTATTGCATGAGGTATGATAATTTCAAATATAGATTCTTGAAAGAGAATGAGTCGAAATTTCAAGGGATTGAAAAGATCAAAATTTAATTTCCCTTTAAAGGTAATAAATAATAAAAAACAGTGTAAAGAATCTGGATGTGTAACATATCGGCTTCCCGGATCCGGATATGCAGAGCAAAATTGTCCGGATCAAAGGATTCAAGTTACAAATGATTGAGATGGGTAAAACTACCATGCCGCCGCTGGCTCTCTTTACAATCAAGCAATGAGACAGCAAAAATTGTACTGTTTTAAAAACTATTAGATAAGATTTATGATCCAAATTCTTAAAGGACGGATCGATTCAGATCCACGTCTTATAAAATCAATCCTGTGCACAAGTTCTGGTTTATCAGCTCCCTACCTAATTGGTCCTAAGGAGCTATAAGCTGAGTGCCCTAGAGAACTGTAAGCTGAGTCAGGTTGAGCATTGGAAACTTCGCTAGAAGCCACCTCTCGTCTTCCTCCCTGTAAACAAACGGAAATTTCTAGAAACTGTTTTTGAAAAATCTATCTCCACTCTGACGGAGCATCAATTTGGTGTAAATAACAAATATAAGAAAATCAATTAAATGTATTTTCCGAAAAACATGTGATTTAAGACCCACCTGTTCATTCTTATCCTCGGCCACCTTCAGGCGCTTTATTGATGTTTTAACCATCGTCAATACTTCTAAATAAGATAACAAGATCGTTATAATTGATATTTACATATTTACAATTGTACATACTTAATTCTATGGTTCCTTTTAATGATAGCTAATCTGTTATCACTGTATCCTTTTAACCATCTCCCTGTATGCTTGCATCTTCTCCCTGTATCCTTACAACCTTCTCCCTGTATCCTTGCAACCTTCTCCCTGTATCCTTGCAACCTTCTCCCTGTATCCATGCAACCATCTTCATGTATCCTTGCAACCTTCTCCCTGTATCCATGCAACCATCTTCATGTATCCTTGCAACCTTCTCCCTGTATCCTTGCAACCTTCTCCCTGTATCCTTGAAACCTTCTCCCTGTACCCTTGCAACCATCTCCCTGAATCCATGCAACCATCCCCTGTATCCATGCAACCTTCTCCCTAATTCCTTGAAACCTTCTCCATGTGTCCTTGCAACCATCTCCTGTATCCATGCAACCTTCTCCCTGTATCCTTGCAACCATCTGACTGTATCCATGCAACCTTCTCCCTGTATCCATGCAACCATCTTCCTGTATCCTTGCATCCTTCTCCATGTGTCCTCTGTATCCTGTCTATCCTTCCCTCTGTATCCTGCCTATCCTTCCCTCTGTATCCTGCCTATCCTTTCCTCTGTATCCTGTCTATCCTTCCCTCTGTATCCTGTCTATCCTTCCCTCTGTATCCTATCTATCCTTCCCTCTGTATCCTGGCTATACTTACCTCTGAATCCTGTCTGTCCTTCCCTCTGTATCCTGTCTGTCCTTCCCTCTGTATCCAGTTTATTCTTCCCTCTGTATCCTGTCTATCCTTCCGTCTATATCCTGTCTATCCTTCCCTCTGTATCATGCCTATCCTTTCCTCTTTATCCTGCCTATCCTTTCCTCTTTATCCTGCCTATCCTTCCCTCTGTATCCTGTCTATCCTTCCCTCTGTATCCTGTTTATCCTTCCCTCTGTATCCTGTCTATCCTTCCCTCTGTATCCTGGCTATACTTCCCTCTGTATCCTGTCTGTCCTTCCCTCTGTATCCTGTTTATTCTTCCCTCTTTATCCTGTCTATCCTTCCGTCTATATCCTGTCTATCCTTCCCTCTGTATCCTGTCTATCCTTCCCTCTGTATCATGCCTATCCTTCCCTCTGGATCCTGTCTATCCTTCCCTCTGTATCCTGTCAACCTTCCCTCTGTATCCTGCCTATCCTTGCCTCTGTATCCTGTCTATCATTCCCTCTGTATCCTGGTTATACATCACTCTGTATCCTGTTTATCCTACCCTCTGTATCCTTCTATCCTTCCGTCTATATCCTGTCTATCCTTCCATCTGTATCCTGTATATCCTTCCTTCTGTATCATGCCTATCCTTCCCTCTGTATCCTGCCTACCCTTCCTTCTGTATCCAGTCTATCCTTCACTCTGGATCCTGACTATACTTCCCTCTGGTTCCTTGCTATCCTTCCATCTGTATCATGTCTTTCCTTCCCTCTGGATCACGACTATCTTTCCCTCCGGATCCTGTCTATCCTTCCCTCTGTGCCCCGTCTATCCTTCCCTCTGTGCCCCGTCTATCCTTCCCTCTGTATCCTGACTATCCTTCCCTCTGGATCCCGACTATCCTTCCCTCTGGATCCTGTCTATCCTACCCTCTGTACCCTGTCTATCCTTCCCTCTGGATCCTGTCTATCCTTCCATCTGTTTTCTGTCAATCCTTCTCTCCATCCTGTCTATCCTTCCCTCTGTATACTGTCTACCCGTCCCTCTGTATCCTGTTTATCATTATATCTGTAACCTGTCTATTCTCTCTGTATCCTGACTATCTTACTCTCTGTATCCCCTTTATCCTACTCCTGTATCCCTTCTAAACATTTTTCTTTTTCTCTAAAATTATTCAAAATAAAAAAGTTATTTTTTTTAGATTTGCGAAAATACACAAAAGTCCTTAAAATTAGGAATATATTATCCATGGGAATTCAAACAAGAGCAATTGATTTAAATAAGCCATTGATCACTTTATCAAGTTATAGAATCCGTCTGTGTAGAAATTTTTAAATAAGCTTAAGAAGTTTGACTTTTTTAACTGATCGCTGCTATGATGAAATATACGAACCTTAAACTGGATTTATACTGATTAACCCATCTTCATTACTAGAATAGATAATCACAATCGTTCACTGATTCTTTAATAGTTGTTAGTTCACTTTTGTGTTCTATTATATAGCTGACTTTACTCCGCTGATTATTTGAGATCAACTGCGTTATTCACTTCTCTTTCTTTATAGATGTACTGACAAGTATGTAATGTAGTGTACAGAGGTTTTGTTTAGCGGGAGAGAGAGGAGAGAGAGAGAGAGAGAGAGAGAGAGAGAGAGACGGAGACCGAATATCATGGGTTTCAACGTGACTAGTAGAGTTCAGAATACTCAGCACTGATATTTATATAATCAAAAATACATTAATTAAATTGTAAAAAAAATTCTTCCGTTGCTTATTAACACTTTTGGTTAAAGATTTGCTTTAAATTTCTTTTTTTGTTTAAAATATTTTATACATATTATTTTCCAAACTCTGAATTCTCACGTTGCAGACAACATGGTGGTAACGTCAGACTCAGGTGTCGTATCATCTGGTGGATTGTTTCATCGTACCCACCGAGGAAATTTTCCTTTCTCTAAAACTCGGATTTAGTGCTGCATTTGCTGGAATGACGTTTTTGCCATGTAAATGTATCAAATAAAAAATGGCGTTAATCGGCAATGTTATGTCAGCTGGACTTGAAACCCTAAAAATAAAGCATGTATGATGTTATAGTACCTATGGTATACATATTGTTAGGTGTATATTTACGTAAAAATTCGTATGCTCTATTTGTTGGTAAAGAATTTGCGTATATTTATTTTTTTTACGTATTTATCATACCAAGCGGGTTTTATAATATAGGTTTTCTAGAAACATATTTTTATGATATGGCGCGTTTACTTTTTGCCAAGTGATTTTTTAACAGTTTTTACTAGGTTTTCAATTTATGTATTTTTACGTATATTTTCGTTTTTTTCTTTATACTTAAGGAATTTTTCATGTTTTTTTAAGAGTTATAATTAGAAGTTTTATGCAAACCTAAAAATACAAATATGTTTTTGTATTTTCATACCAAGGAATTTTTCAAAGTTTTATAGTTTTTATTTTACGTATTTTTCAAGTTATTTCTTTACTTGAATTTTTGTTTAGATTTTACCAGTAATTGATGGTAACCTTTAAATATACATTTTTTAGGTTTGTATTTTCCATATTTTTACGTATTTTTTCTTTGTTTTTCTTTACTTAAAAATTTGTATTTTGTTTACAGTAGAAAAGTTTGATGCATGAACCTAAAACTACGCAAATTCCATGCAAACTAATTTTTCTTCCAAGTGTCAATTTTTTCATCACGAAACCTCAACTGCACAAAAAGGCATTTTTAAGTTAGAAATCAAATATATTTTATGATTTTTCAAAAGAATTGTTATCTAAGAATTAATGCAACCATTTTTGCAACTTAAATTCTTGTTTGAAATCTGTGAATATTTTCCCGAGAATTAATTCTCGAATTTTTTCTCAGAAATATTATGATATTTTAACTGTTGTCATTCACTACCAAATTTTCTTCATTTGGAAAATTCTGGAGAAAAAATTCACCAAAAATTAAATTGTTTACACTGTTATGAGTAGGAAAAAATGGGGCATGGGCAGGGGCGTAAATAAGGATCGTGTATGCAGGGGTAAATAAGGATCGTGTATGCAGGGGTAAATGTAAATAAGGATCGTGTATGCAGGGGTAAATAAGGATCGTGTATGCAGGGGTAAATTAATTTAATGTGTTGCGCCAAGCGCGCCGAATTTGTTTAAACCCTTTAGAATGCAGCATTAAAAATGTATTCATCATTACCCATACCATTTTTTTCTATTAAAAAAATATCTAATGTAATGACATTGACCATTACTTAAGAATTTAGAATCATTTAGAATGTTGCACATTTAAATTATTTTCGTGCAAATTTTAAAGATATTTAATTTTAAAATCAACCTTTTTTAAAAAACAAAAACAAAGTAACAACACATCCTCCATGAAAAGCCGTCGCCCCATGGATTCTGGGGGGGGGGGGGAATAACCCCAATACCCCCCCCCCCTATTTACGCCATTGAGCATGACAAATATTTAAGATTAAGTAATGAAAATGTTTACAAAAGATACCTTTTTGATTACATTTGATATTAAGAAAACTAGCGTAATTACGAAAGAAATTTCCTTGTTTGCAAATCAAAAGATGTGTGTATTTTTTGTTGAGCTATAGCCATAAAGAATAGAATATATATAGAGAGGAATTAAAAGAATCTCTCGGTATGAATTTTTTCAGTCCCTTTCAGCCTGAAAGGGACTTCAAAGTGTAAAAATCATGTAAATGTTCACAAATTATATGCAGTAGAGTACATTAATACAGTATGTTCCCTAGACTATTCATTTCAATTTCGAATTTTTTAAACTGTTAAATAAACTTTATAATGAATTAGGTGTAATAAAAAACATCATTTGATTTACAGTTATAACGGTAAATCATCGTTTGTAAAGTGGAAGGCATAGAGTCTATGTGAAATGATCATTGGTCAATTATGAAACCAGCCTATTTCATAATTTGGTTTTCTTTTAACAATAATTTGAAATTTTCTATAAAATGATATTCCAGGGCCCAACAGGTTATATAGCATAAATATGCGAAGTGCACCAGCAGTATGAAAACAGTACAACAAAATGGCCGTTTTAAACTTTTTTCTAGTAAATTCCTCTCTATATATTCTATTCTCTATGGCTATAGCATAGAGTAATAAAACGAAGAGGTGAAGCTTAGCTCAGATGTACACAACCAACCTGTCTATTAATTAATTGATAGATTGGTCGGTTGTGTACATCACGATATGTTTACGTATCTAACGTTGTGCTCTTTTATATAGAGTGATCGTATTTCTAAGGAGTGGTTTAATGTAGATATTTAAATATTAGTATTGATACACTTAATATGGATTGTAAACAGCGTGGGACGCGCTCCCCAGTCTATTCATAGATTTAGACCCCCCAGCTTTTATGGTTAAACATAAACAACAATCTAAAGGTTGAATTTAGTTTCTGTCTCAAATATTGTTTCGTCCTTTGTGGGTATTGTGGTATTGTCATGAACACACAGTAATAATAAGAAAGATTCAACAATATAATTTTATTCATGTTTAAATAAAACCAACTTATTAGATTTTTGACGTACGTTAGTTTTTTTTCTTTCATTCTTCTGCCTACAAAGATGCAATATTCGCATTGAAATGAATTTCTGAATAATCTTCTTTATGAGTTTTATCCTGTGGATATTTTGGATAAAAATGTACCATCCCTAAGAAAAAGACTTTAGTGAATAGGTAAAGGGTTTAAATGCATGTCCAAATTTTTCAAGGCCAGCTCATTGAAATAAAATTAGATCGATTACTTTTATAGTGCTAGAGAGGGTAAAAAAAGATGCTAAAAAGGTCGAAAAAATGTAAAAAAATAATTTTTGTTTAAAACAAATATCAAAGTGTGACACACGTTTCTACACCCATTTTTCAAGGGCTTTTCAAAACTATAGTTTTCAGATCTGTATAGCCTTAGTCATAAAAAAGTTATGAGCTATTTAAGATTTTTTTACATACTCTGGTTTTTTATCGCCCTGCACCCTACCTTAGGCATAAAAAATTACCAAAAAATCCTTTAAATTTCTATTTATGAAAAGTAAAAAAACTAGAGGGGGGAGCCAAACCCCCCCCCCCCCCCGCCTGTTTAGGGTTAGAAGCTCCAGGTCGTCATCGTTGTTTCATCTTTGTGGGTAACCCTGCATACACTATCATGTTTATGATAAAGAGTTGAAGAGAAGAAACAATAAAAAATGTATGAAATAAGAATGTTTTCAGTTAAATTCGCATGCCCTATAGAAACTTAATATTTTTGACAGAACTTTTAGCTAATAAATTGAAAACCTACAAATTTGAAAATTGTCAAATGTTTGCAGTCAACATCCTCGAATTCTCTTTAAATAAAGAAAGAAAATCTAAAAATTGGTAAAATCCATAAAATCCCCCTTTAGTAATACGATCGCTCTATATACAAGTGTACAGCGTTAGATACGTAAACATATCGTGATGTACACAACCGACCAATCTATTAATTAATTAATAGACGACAGGTCGGTTGTGTACATCTGAGCTAAGCTTCACCTCTTCGTTTTATTACTCTATGAGCTATAGGATAAGAATATGAATGACAGGGGGGGGGGGGCCGGGGGCCTCTTGGGCAGATTTATTTTGTTTCATATTTCTCTCCAGTACAGGAACGGAAGGGAGGAGGAAGGGTGCCCCTGAAAGAAATTCCCAGATGTGCGACACATTTTTAGGATGCATTAGGGTAAAACTAGCTCAAATACAAAATTTTAGTATTTTAAAAATTTTTCCAAAATGGCCCAGCCATTTTAATGTTTTTCCCACCATATTTTGGCCTTTTTAAAACTTTTTTAATCATTCTCGGCTAAATAGGGTTAATATTTGACAATTTTTTTTATTTTTTTTTTATGGTCAAATATTTAGATAAAGGTGAAAAATCACGTCTTTTTTAACCCTTTTGTCAGCTCCATCTGGGAGTGGTTAACGTAAATTTTTTTTTTCAAACTAAACACCGTGCTATTTTTTAACATTTTGACAGTTCAGAAATGGCCTAACAAGTGACAAGTTTAGATGGAAAGTGTAAGGTATTGGCCAAAAAATCCATTTTAAAAAACCGTTTCTGGTGCAATTTTCTCCTCAACTCCTCTTGGTTGGCCTAATGATGCAACTTTCAAAAAAAACTGTTCTTCACAAAAAGATACCCATTGATGTTAAGATTGCACAGTAAAAAACAAATATTGAATATCTTTTAAGACAGCTGAGCTTTGGACATTTTAGTTAACAAGTTTAGCAATGTGTAAAATCACAATTTTTAAGTGACATTGCTGTTAGGCCCATTGAAGTTATAAAGACTTAAATAATTCACTGAAAGGTTAATAACTCTATGTTCTTTAAAGATATTGGAGTTTTTTTGTATTGTTATAAATTGACATTAAAGGGCATCTTTTTATGAAAAACAATTTTTTTACCTGGATTGATACGGGTTTGAAAGCATTTATAGGAGGGGCATTTACTACAGGAATACTTTAGTGTATTTGATGCTGTTACACAGTAAATATTTAGCTTTACTATAGTAACTTATCAAATCATTTATTAAGAGAAATAGGCCTGTTTACACTGAAAAAATTATCACTGTTCTTATTTGTCAAAACTTTAATATATAATTTATCATAATGAGAATCCCATATTTTGTTCGGATATATTGATGTTGAAATTGTAGAATTGAATATTTTAGCTGATCAGGTAAGTCATGAAAAATTCTTTGCTTTAAACGGGTTCTTTTGCAGATCTTATCTTGTATGGAAGATAAAACATGTGGGAGCTAGCTGCAGTAGTTCTGATGATTCAGCATGAACATGTGAGATGGCCAACTGATTCCTCTGATGCAACTTTGCAAACTATCCTGACATGAACTGGAAGCATGAACACGAGGATCAGGATTTACAGGGTGTCCCACAAAACATGGCAGTAGTAAAAATATTTGAAGGTCGTGTTTTATATTTGAAATGATTTACGACATTTATTCATACGCCATATTTTGAAAGTACAATTTTATCGAGTTAATAGTCACAAAATACCCCTGGTCTTGGCATTTCCAAAATGTGGTCTGCCTTTTTTGTGCTCTCAATAATATGATTAACTTTGTTCAAATTCAGACATTTTTGGTCTGTTTATCAAAATTAAAATCTGAACGAAATTCTCAATATCTCCGGTAATATACAGCACTTAAAAAAGGCAGACCACATTTTGGAGATCTCAGGACCGGGAGAAGCTTCGTGCTTATTGTTTCAAAAATCATACATGTGAAGGAAGGTTGGCGAATGAATGTGTCCAATGAATCAATAAATTAAAGACGACTTTCATATCGTCTTGCTACTGTCATATGTTTCATGGGACACCAGGAACAATGCAGTTTCTAGGAGTTGGATCACGCTAGTTTCAAAAGTTTTAAACAATAAAACAATAATAAAAATGAACTTTTATGTTGTATTGCCATTGGAAAGATCTTCAATTTTTGTTGGTTGATCTCAATGAGGGTGTAATTATTTCCTAAATTCAAATAAAATCATTTTTATTCTGAATCAGATTTTGTGTAAAATGCATATATATTTAGCAAAGAGGTTAAAGGAATAATTATAATCATTAGAATAATTACTAATAGTGTTTACAAATTCTTTCAGTTTTATTGGGTTAAAGTCTGAGTTTGAATAACTTGCACACAATTGTAGTGTTCCTTCTTGTATTAAAAAATAATTTTTCTAATAAAATTCTAGTTTTTAAACTACAAGATGTCCCACGAAACATGACAGTTGGTGACTTGTTTAAAAATGTCTTCTTCCATAATTTGACAAATTGTTTGATATAAAGAGACTTTAATAACATTTTTATACAATGAAACCCAATAACGAATACATCGGAAGAATTGATCAAATGTCGTCTTGACAATTTTTCAATGAGTTTTATACTATATTTCGTGAATTTCAGTATTTGCGAAAATAAATAAATTGCTATGAATATGCGGGAAAAGTTTTTAAGAGTTCCATATAATCATTTAATTAAAAAACTAAATATCTGCAACATTCCATTATCAGAAAGTGAAGAATACGACATTTGATGAATTCTTTCGATGTATTCGTTATTAAGGGTTTCACTGTATTACAGTTATATTATAGTAAAATGGATTTTAAAGTAAAATATATATGAGTTAAACATATTTTTAAAGAGATAAACTGCAAAAAGTCTTTAATATCAATACAGTGTAAAGAAGAAGACATATTCACAAACACAAACTGTCATGTTTCGTGGGACACTCTGTATGTCCATAGAGTGTAATACGTTTTGTCTGCATGAATAGAGATAATGACGTGCATAGGCTTTCTTAAAAATGATATATAACTGATCTTTCTTAAATTGAAATGTTTAACTAAAATTTTTATGAAATGACAGAAACTGCAATTGTTTTCCAAGAAAGATACTTGTTAAAATCTTCATTACATTTAAAACTGTAAGATTAATAGGTTATAATTTTAGGTTTTTTTATTGAGCATGCTCTTTGATCCTGTATCCTGTATCATCTATAGATCCTCAGATGTATTTTAAACCTTTCAAGAGCCTGATACAAGCAACGAGTATTGAAATTATAAGCGACATGGCCATACAGTTGTTGTCGTAAATATCAAGAAGACGACTTTCAATTTGAATTTTTGATTGCTAGCAAACTAACATAAAACATAAACAAACATGGAAATAAAGAGAATCGGTCAATTGACAGATTCTCTTTATTTTCTTGTAAACTTGTAATACAAAAAAAAATTTACAATTTATTTTTAAATTAAATTGTTTTTAATTTTGTTACCTGCATATTTCATTCTGCTTAATCTATAACTCATTTTAAGTTTACTGTACAAGGGGTCCCACTTCCACATCAAATTAGACCGCGTCAATGGGTCTAAATTACGAGTTGGGGGACAAATCTAAAAATTTAAGAAGAATGAATAATTTTGAAAAGTTTAATAAGGCTAATAGAAAAAATCTTTTGCAGAAAACGCTAGATTTTCGAGCATTATGTGCGTATTTTGGCGTTAAAGATTGGAGATATTCTAATATGATATGGGACGCTCTGTACTATAGTCTCAGATCTCACCGTTCCCAGCTATTCTCTGACATTTCTTGTATAATTGTTTCATTAATTGCCCAAATTATAGTTTTGTGTGTTTGCTGTTTATCCAATAAGTATACACTTTGCGTGTTCAAACAGCTAATTTAATTAAATTATAAAATTGTTACGTAATAAAAAAATGAATTTATCCTTGAAATTATTAAAATAAAATATTATAACTATGACTAAGAAGAATGTCGTCTTTTATTTAAAATCGTAAATATCAAAATCGTCATTCATCTTTGATAACCAACGGAAGACAAATTGTTCAAGAAAAAAAGATTTTACCGACTTTTCGTGCGCTTACATAATCGAACAATAATCAAACTATCGCCAACATAGGGACGTAAAATTACTTTACGTCCCTTGGGACGATTCAGTAAAATAACGACCCGCGCATTTTCATTTCCAAAGAGTAAAGACGATAAATTTGTGCACGAATACCTTTTGGTAAATCAAAAACTTTACTTGACCCTGGCTGGGCTCTTGATGTTTTGTGGGCAAAATTGGTCTTGGGAACCCTTGGTAAAGTAAAATTCCCTGAACTTCCCTGTTGTAAATTAGTTGGAAATAATAAAAAGTTCTAAATATTGTTCACTTTAAAGCCTAATTTGTTGCTTCTTTAAATTAAAAATACTTTTAAGCGAAAAATTTATTGTTTTACTTGCACAATAAACAAACTCCTAAAAAATCGATACCAAAAATCAACACTCAATTCCCATGTTTAGAAGGACATTCTGCAACATAAAATGACTTTCGCTTGGTGCTCCGACACATTTTTATGAAAATCAAATCAAACTTTTGAATCTTGATATTTTTTCCCCTGATGGTGTAAACCAGAGATATTTCAAACTTAAACTATTTGATCTAACAGAATTCATATGTTTAAGACATGGTTGCATAGATACAATTTTACTAATGAGTTTTCTATATTCACCACACACAAGCAACCCCTGCCAAATCCACCGTTTTATTTTGTACGCAGCGCTCTGCCCCTTTGGTATGGATGTGTCGACTGAAAGGGGAAAACCCATAGATAAAATAGAACCGTACTAAATTATAAATCCATAGATAAAATAGAACCGTACTAAAAATATAAATCCATAGATAAAATAGAATCTAAAGTTTCAAAATATTCAGAGGTTTCAACATATTCAAAGTTACAACATATCTAAAGTTACAACATATCCAAGGCTACAACATATCCAAAGTTACAACACACCCAAAGTTACAACATATTCAAAGTTACAACATATTCAAAGTTACAACATATCTAAAGTTACAACATATCCAAGGCTACAACATATCCAAAGTTACAACACACCCAAAGTTACAACATATTCAAAGTTACAACATATTCAAAGTTACAACATATCCAAGGCTACAACATATCCAAAGTTACAACATATCCAAAGTTACAACATATTTTAGGAGTTGGAGTAAAATCCCAGGTTTTGGAGTAAAATCCCAGGGTTTGGAGTAAAATCCCAGGGTTTGAAGTAAAATCCCGGGGATTGAAGTAAAATCCCAGGGTTTTAAGTAAATCCCATTGTTTAGAAAAAAAATCCTAAGGTTGAATTAAAATCCGTTGATATCAAAATCCCAGAGTTTGGAGCAAAATCCTAGGGGTTGGAGCAAAATCCCAGGGTTTGGAGTAAAATGCAAGGGGTTGAAGTAAAATCCCGGTGTTTGATGTAAAATCCCGGTGTTTGGAGAAACATCCCAGGGTTGTAGTAAAATCCGTTGGTATCAAAATCCCGAAGTTTGGACTTTTGGAGTAAAATCCTAGGGTTATAGTAAAATCTGGTCACAGTATACTGGAGGTCCTGATTTAAACCCGTGTGTACAATCTATCATTTACTTTCTGGTCACAGTATACTGGAGGTCCTGATTTAAACCTGTGTTTACATACTAGACGCCCCATCCCTACTTTGCTTTTTTTTCTCCGGTTGTGAGAAACCAACTTCTAGCTAGACCCAACAGAGGTTTTATTATTTTTTATTCTTTCTTTCTATTTTTGGATCTTTTCTTTTTTCTTTCTTTCTTTTTTTAAAATCTATTTTGTTTTATTTTTTTGTTCTTTTATTTATTTTTTAATCTTTTTTCTTCTTTTTTCCTCTTTAAATGTAGATTATATGTGTTTTTTTTTGTATAAAAATTCTATTACCATATTTTTCACGGATTTTGATCAATAAGAGATGAAAATCTGACGAAAAATATTTCGACACAGACAGTACACAGACACAGACAGTCATGCACTTCGTTGTAGTTTGTTTGACGTGTAGTGCTATTTTGCGATAGTGTAAATAGTTTTCAAGAAAACTAACATTATGTTTGCATTTTAGGATTTGAAAAGTTATTATACAATTTATAAAATTTATAAGGTTTGAAAACATGTAGGATTGAATTGTAAATAATTACTTACTTCAGTTCAGTGTGAACTTCAGGCGGTGTTAATTACATTTTAGAAATACATTTACGAATTGAAAAAAGATTAATTAAAAAATACAGTCAAACTAAATGGTGAGATAATATATGTAGATCTGGGATGGAGTAAATAAGTCCACGGCAAACTAAAGTAATTATTAAATCTGTAATACAAAAACTAAATGTCTGGAATCGTTTTCTTTTGACGTTGATTTTTAGCCTCAGGTTAACTATTCAGTTGAAGATAATGATAAAAATTGCTCATTGAAATGTTTTTTTTAGTCAAATGTGATTAAGGATTATTTTAGCTTGACATTTTCTTGGAAAACGTAAAATCTGCAATATAATATACCATGATATAATTGTAAAGTAAAGTTATGTATGAAACTAAATATCAAGGAAGGCGCACCATGTACACTACCGGCGCGCTCGGAGCTCAGTACATTCCTAGATCTCCGCGCATAAACACTACGCGCGCGTGTTCCTAATATCTTTGCAGAGCGCTCTACCTGTTAGGATTGAATACAATGTGAAAATTAGTGGAAAAAGTGAGAATTTAAAAAGAAACGAAAGAAAGATATATATTTAGCATATATTAGTCAAGTTAGGAAGGTGAATTAGAGTGTATAGACTGGGAGATCTGTACGGCCAGAGGGAGAATATTAATCGAACCTTAAACCCTGGGATAGATAGAAGATACAGACAGGTCAGTTTACAGGAGAAAATACCAATCATCTTCTCATCTTAGCAATATATACCTTACATAGACACACTGTATAGTTATGTATACACTGCACTAGATATTTCGTACTTCTATTTATCAAACCTGTCTGTAAAGTTATTCACACTAAAATAAAATCACTTTAATATTGAGTCTTTGCGTCAAACTCAGAATTTCTAATCCCTGTATCTTTGCAACTCAATAATGTGAATCTTAGATATTTTAAACTTTGATTAATTCATTTAACATAATTATAGTATTAAATATCTAAGATATACGACATTGGTTTGCAAAGATATAGGAATTAGAAAAACAAGAGTTTGTGACAAACACTCAATTTCTTTTAAACAAATGAATACAAAAGAACTGAAAAATTTAATTTTATAATCCTTGATGTTGCAGACCGTTGATGTGTTAACCTAGAAAGGAGACAATGATTTAAGAGAAATTTAGAAGATTCCCAATTAGATAGAATTTATTGAACAGTTACAAGATGGAAGATATAGATTATAAATCTTATTAATCTTTATTTTAAATGACTCCCCATTTATAGAGTTATTCACAATGGTTTAAAGTTTTGCTTCTTTATACATTGGCTTGCGCAAATGCTTATTTCTGCGCCTTAAGAAACAAAAGAAAAAATTGTCAAAATTAAAATCTTTAAAAAAAATGATATATTCAACGTTAATGATCAGTTTAAGGTGGAACGGGTACCATTGCGAATCGAAGGGAAGGGCCTGTAATGTATGGTAGTTTAACTGAGAATGTAGTAAGTATTGTAAAGAAATTTTTAAGTATTATTTAAGTCATATAAAACGTTTAAATGATGTATAATTACCGAGTTTAAGCGCAAAGTCGGCATTCAAAATCATTCATTTGGGTGGTTACGTTTAGAGAATCGAATTTTTTAAATTATTAAATAACGACGACAAAAATGTGACAAAAATTCTACAGTAAACTAATTAGTTGTTTAGGAAAAGGTTGAGAAAATAAAAGTCAACTCTTATCATCGAAAATAAGTAATCTTATTCAGTTATTAGTTTCTGTAATCTCTCATTGTTCACAAACATTTTCTGTAGATTTTTTGGAATTTGGAGTGAAAAGACGACATTTGAAGATTTCGTAGATATCTGCAAACAAATGCGCAAAGAATAAGAAATTTAATATAATGATAAAAACGAAAAATTGACTATTGATTCATTGACAAATTTCTGTTGAAAAATATGTTCCTAAACATCTAATTAAATTACTGTCGAATTTTTTATACATCATTTTGTCATCGGTATTAATAATTTTCAAAAATCGATTCTCAAAACATAACCACCCAAATGGATGATTTTAAAAGTCGACTTTGCACTAAAACACAGTAATTATACACCATTCAAATTTTTTTGTGTCTCAAATGAATCCTAAATAATTTATCCGCATACTACATTCTTAGTTCAACTACCATACATTGCCGGTCACTCCCTTATTATCCAAGATAATAAGCTTGTTTGATTTTTTAATATTCTTATTTTTCATTAAGATATATTTTCGTCATTGTGATTTTTGAGATTAATTTCTTATCATAATCAAACGAAGATTTACAAATTACTTTCTTATGCAAACTTGATTTGATTGAAATCAGTGGCGCAACATGGGGAGGTGGATTTCTCCTCTAGCTCTTTAATAGGGGGACCTTATCACAACCCAAAAGAAATGGAATTGAGTCTTTTGCCTCAAACTCTGATTTTCTATTCCCCATATAATATATATATAATAATAATAATAATATCTATCTATCTATCTATCTATCTATCTATATATCTATCTATCTATATATCTATCTATCTATCTATCTATCTAATTGTAAAATCTGTTATATACCTAGCTGTATTTAATCGGGTAAGTGTGACAGCTTCTATAATTTATATACTTTAAGCATCTTAGCTGAAGAATAAATGGATAGAAATATAGATACATAGAGATATAATACATACATGTACGTAAATAGAATGTCTAGAATACCTAAATTATCTAGAGTGTCCAGAATGTCTAGAATGTCTAGAATGCCTTGTATGTCTAGAATATCTAAACATTTAGATTATCTAGAATGTCTAGTATGTCTAGGATGTCTAGTATGTCTAGGATGTCTAGTATGTCTAGGATGTCTAGTATGTCTAGGATGTCTAGTATGTCTAGGATGTCTAGTATGTCTAGGATGTATAAAAAAGTCTAGGATGTCTATTGTCTAGTATGTCTAATATGTCTAGGTTGTCTAGAATACCTGAATTATCTAGAATGTCTAGACTGTCTAGAATGTCTAAAATGTTTAGAATGTCTAGAATGTCTAGAATGTCTAGAATGCCCAGAATGTCTAGAATGTATGAGGATATCAAGAAACTGTTAAACCTAAAAATGAGTATATGCTGTATATGGTTGAAATGTAATCTTCCCAATATAGAATTTAATTAAATCAGAATTGATTTAATGTATTTTATATCCTCCATATCTTATTCTAAACTTCTCACACTAGTCACAAAACATTAACATTCTCCTCCCGTATTTTCAGGCTTCATTTACTTGTGAAAACTTGAGGGTCCTGCCCCCCCCCCCTCCCCACAAAAAAAACTAAAAAGAATCAATGTCCCATTTTGCAGGATTCTATATCTTGTTTCGATCCTACAATTAGAAGGAGTTTAACTAGTCACAGATAGTTGAACTGCATTTCTAGTGTGGCAGAGAGATCAATTGAGAAATAACTGGCAAGAAAATAAGTAATCTTATTCAGTTATTAGTTTCTGTAATCTCTCATTGTTCACAAACATTTTCTGTAGATTTTTTGGAATTTGTAGTGAAAAGACGACATTTGAAGATTTCGTAGATATCTGCAAACAAATGCGCAAAGAATAAGAAATTTAATATAATGATAAAAACGAAAAATTGACTATTGATTCNCCCCCCCCCCCCCCCATTTAATGACATGCTTTTGGTTGATGACAAAAAGGAAATTACTCACTCATGTCGTAAAGTTCTTGATATACACTTATATATACATCATAATGTACAAACATATGTTTCTTCACGTTACTAGGCAAGGTCTCATATTCCTCTATACTTAAAGTGAACAGTACTTCAAATTTTAATCCCAAATTGTCTTTAACTCTTCTTTCTAATTTTGATCATTTAACTCTCCTCCTGTCTAGTCCTTTATATCTTTTTCGTCTCATTCTCTTCTCTGTAAAATCCCACCAATATAGTTCTTCTACGACCCTACAAAACCACGTTATTCTAATCCTTATACCTTATATCCTTCAATCCCTGTAATTGCATCCTCCCGTATTGTTTGGCCCTTCCAATCCCTCTGATCCCTTAATGCTTTAAATCCACAATTGATCCTACCAATCCCCCTGCTACTCCGATCCTTTAAATCCCCTATATCCTTCCATCATTCCCTGATCCTCATTTTAATCTGATCCTCCCAGTTCTCCGGATTCTTAATCAAAAGATCTATAACTAATACAATCCTCCCTCGCCTCCCTCTTTATGTAGATTTATTTTTAACCCAATCATTCTCAAGGATTTCGTATCATATAATGACAAGGATGCTTTAAAGTTGATATAGGTGATTTGTCAATTATTGTTTGATCATTTTTCTTTCAAAAACATATTTTGAAATAAAAATTAAAATCTTTTCATTTTTAAGTTATAACATTTAACTGATCGGTAAGTACGACAACCTGTAATAAATCATTATATGTAGTGAATAAGCTCTTTCTAACAGTATTCAAAATACTAAGATTCATATTTTATTTATCTATATAATAAAGCTCTTCGCTTATATTTTTAAAATACTAGAGCTGAAGGGCCCGGCGTTGCCCGTGAAAAAAAAGAATTTTTTTTCAAGCCTTTGTCACGACCAGACTTCCAATGAGTGTTAACAAGAAAATGTCAGCCCATTCGGTCCAGCCGTTTGGGAACATATAAACGATATATATATATATATATAAAGATATATATGTCAGCTATACATGGCCAAACGGCTAAACCGAATGGGCTGACATTTTTTAAGGAAGCTAATGGGTACCCAAGGGGTAACAAAGGCAAAAAATTCAGCTACAATAGTTTTTATGTGAAAATCAAGAAAATTTGTTCAAATAGAAAAAATGCTGAAGGTTGTTTAAAGTAATAACAGTACATGAGAATGTAATAATAGAATAAAAGAACTGGGCTGAATTGAATTCCAGAATGATTAGAACATTTTTACTCTTTAAAGGGATTGGTGGCAAATTTTGATATTTTGATGGTAGTTACAATAAAATTAGGTACTATTAATCTAATGTTAAACTTATTGTTCTTTAAGCTTGGACTGTCGCGCATTGTAACTTCAAGCGAACTTCCATTTCAAAGGAGTTGAGTTTTTGCCACAAACTCTGATTTTCTAATCTCTATATCTTAGTAACTCAATGTTGTAGACCTTAGATATTTCAAACTATTAATAATTATAGATAAATTAATCTAAGTTTGAAATATCAAAGGTTTGCACCATCAGGTTGCAAAGATATTGGGATCAGAAGATTTGAGTTTGTGGCAAAAACTCAATTCCTTTGAATCTTTACACGTGTACTATATATCAATCTATCTTCATTTTCTAGCCTCAAACCTCTAGCCTCAAACCTCTAGCCTCAAACCTCTAGCCTCAAACCTCTAGTCTCAAACCTCAAACCTCTAGTCTCAAACCTCTAGCATCAAACCTCTAGCATCAAACCTCTAGCCTCGAACCTCTAGCCTCAAACCTATAGCCTCGAACCTATAGCGTCAAACCTAAAGCCTCGAGTCTCTAGTCTCAAACCTCAAGCCTCTAGCCTCAAACCTCTAGCCTCAAACCTCTAGTCTTAAACCTCTAGCTTTGAACCTATAGCGTCACACCTAAAGCCTCAAACCTCTAGCCTCAAACCTCTAGCCTCAAACCTCTAGCCTCAAACATCTAGCCTCAATCCTCTAGCCTCAAACCTCTAGCCTCAAACCTCTAGTCTTAAACCTCTAGCCTCAAACCTCTAGCCTCAAACCTCTAGCCTCGAACCTCTAGCCTCGAACCTCTAGCCTCAAACCTCTAGCCTCAAACCTCTAGTCTTAAACCTCTAGCCTCAAACCTCTAGCCTCAAACCTCTAGCCTCAAACCTCTAGCCTTAATCCTCTAGCCTCAAACCTCTAGCTTCAAACCTCTAGTCTTAAACCTCTAGCCTCAAACCTCTAACCTCAAACCTCTAACCTCAAGCCTCTAACCTCAAACCTCTAGTTTTGAACCTATAGCGTCACACCTATAGCCTCAAGCCTCTAGCCTCAAACCTCTAGTTTTGAACCTATAGCGTCACACCTAAAGCCTCAAGCCTCTAGCCTCAAACCTCTAGCTTTGAACCTATAGCGTCACACCTAAAGCCTCAAGCCTCTAGCCTCAAACCTCTAGCTTTGAACCTATAGCGTCACACCTAAAGCCTCAAGCCTCTAGCCTCAAACCTCTAGCTTTGAACCTATAGCGTCACACCTAAAGCCTCAAGCCTCTAGCCTCAAACCTCTAGCTTTGAACCTATAGCGTCACACCTAAAGCCTCAAGCCTCTAGCCTCAAACCTCTAGCTTTGAACCTATAGCGTCACACCTAAAGCCTCAAGCCTCTAGCCTCAAACCTCTAGCTTTGAACCTATAGCGTCACACCTAAAGCCTCAAGCCTCTAGCCTCAAACCTCTAGCTTTGAACCTATAGCGTCACACCTAAAGCCTCAAGCCTCTAGCCTCAAACATTGGGCCTCCAACGTGTTACATTTTAACAAATATTGCTTCTAAAAAAATCAAAATCAAAATTAATTATTTTTTAAAATGGTGATATCTCATGTATTCTTGAACAGATAAAGCTTTTTAATGGTACTCTTGAGAATCGGTGATTCCAAGCTTTAAATACAGAGTCCCTTGTAATGACCTCTACAGTTAATTTAGGAAGTATTCTAACTTTCAGTCGGTGTTAAAAAAACCTTATCAAACCTGTCATCAGGCAATACAAGTTCCTATAAAACTCTAGGCAAAGTTCGTTTTTAAAAAATCACGAAAAAATAATATGAGATAATTTTATTGATGGATTTTGTTTTATCATGACTATCTTCTATATTGGATTTATATCGTATAATTATATCTATATTTTATCTACGTATTCATTTATAGTTGTTTCATCTATCTTTCCAAACATCTATAGTATCTGACAATAAACTATATATATCTCACTATCTTACTCATTAACTATTTAACTTTATATTTATCTATCTATCTAGATAACTATCTATATTGTATCTACATATTCATTTATATAGAGTTGTTTCATCTATCTTTCCAAACATCTATAGTATCTGACAATAAACTATATATATATCTCACTATCTTACTCATTAACTATTTAACTTTATATTTATCTATCTATCTAGATAACTATCTATCTATATATCTATCTAGATAACTATCTATATGTCTATTTAGATAACTATCTATATATCTATCTAGATAACTATCTATATTTCTATCTAAATAACTATCTATATGTATATCTAGATAACTATCTAAATGTCTATCTAGATAAGTATCTATATATCTATCTAGATACCTATCTATATATCTATCTAGATAACTATCTATATATCTATCTAGATAACTATCTTTATGTCTATCTAGAGAACTATCTATATATCTATCTAGATAACTATTTAACTATCTATCTATCTATGTAGATATAAGAATGGGCGTGTCTGTAACTGAGAGAAGGCGGAAGTATTCTCCGACCTACCTGCACAACCTAACCCTACCGGACCCGCCTCACACACTGGCAGAGTATGCTATAGATCACTTCAGGTACTTTTTTAATACATTTTCAACAGAAAAAAGATTTTGAAAGATATGTTAAAAAGTTAGAAATCCTTGTATGCAACTGACTTTTCTCAATCTTGGATGTAAAATTAAAGCTAAAGGAGTATGTTGCTCCTTTTTTTGGTCTAGATTTGGAATATTTTGAAACGTCTAAACTTAATTTAAAAGAGAAACCTCCATTGAAAATAACAAAGTTTGGAAATAGGAAAACAAGGTTATCTCTGACAATGTTGGTCAGACAAAGGTTTAAAGGGTGTCCTATTAAACAGAGTCTCTTGAAATTACGCCAGTAGTCCCTTTAATCTGAGCCGTTATGAAGAATAGGTTGTATTTTACAACGCAATGTCATGAAAGAGATGTACCAATCTCATTTTCTTAGATATTTTTACAGAATTTCTGTTCAGAATCCAAGTAAATTTTATTGATTTATTGTTTTATTGAGAGATTTCTAAGATGACACAACTTTTAGGAAATGCAACAATAAATTCGTATTATATTAATATATCTCTTGAGTAATAATGCATAATTCTTGAAAATCAAAACTTTCAAATTACTAATTGTAAAAATTCTTATAATAAAGAAATTAAGGTTCAGTTTAAAATTAGCTGTCTATTATATTTTAATGAACTGGCTTTGAAAACTGAGCTATGATCATGTATTGTAACTTCAATAATATACCTTTAAGGACCTTGTCTATTTAATCTATCTGAACGTTAATAAAGCTGATTATTTAGCTGATTGAAGCATTTAAACTAACTTGTTCCGATAAAACTTATTTCATTGCGCAGTGGGCGGGGCATTGGAAATATGTTTTTAAATGACATAAATAGCTCCCTTGAAATATTGACTGATGATGAATAATGGTTGGTTGAGGTTGAATATAAGAACACTAGCCAACAAACCACAAGAATTAAACCAAGTTTCAAATTTCGAAAATAAATCAATCTTCGTCACTAAATATGCACAAGCTTGGATACATTCCAAACCTAATTTCGTAGAAATATTATAGGCAGCAGAGTTTTTTTCTAGATTTTTGACGAGAACCGTTTAAAGATAGTTTAGTAAAATAAGATGATAATAATAAAAGATAAGAAAGTAGGTAATATATTGCTTATTATTTTTAACTCGAAGTTAAAATGTTCGAAAATCACATTTTTTACCAATTATTAAGATTTAAAATTTTTCAGAGAGAAAAAAATGAATAGAATTTATCTCTGAAAGGAGGTTTACGGCTTTTTCTAAAAATAAAAGAAAATAGTTTGCATTCTTTTCTTTTACATTTATTTCTAACTAAGAATTTTATTTTGCATCCATTGAAAACATATTTATAACATATTTACTTTTTTTCTGTAGAGAAGGTTTAATCTAAATATTGAAAATAATTTAAAAATCTAGATTTCGCTTAAGATATACTCTTATCCTAATAGCGGTGCTTACATCAGGGTTAAAAGTATAATTCGTGAGATTTAAATAATCACAGAATCTGATTTTATAACATTTATACTTTTGTAACCTTTTGTCGCTGACTTCTAATATTTTGAACTGTATTCTACTAGATGATAAGGCATACATTATCAGGTTGCAAAGGTTTAGGTGAAGCGATTAGAAAATAAATTTATGAAGAGAATCAGAGTTACTTCTCTTAATAATAACTTTACAGAAAAATTCGCAACATTTTATAACGAACGCTTAAAGATTAAAATTTGCAAAAAAAATATCGGAGTTGCAAAAATAAATCGCAAGTTGTGTTTTATGTATTTTTTCAAGCTTTTCAGTAAATGAATAAATTAAAATTGTCCAAAAATAATGTTATTTATTTTAGATCCAACCGTTCTTCCCCGAAGTCGTCAACCCATGATATGACCTCGAAGATGAGAGGTCAAGTAAGTCCTGACCTCTGGAGGTATTCACCTTTCCCTATACAGGAACCTCTACTCAAGAGATTACACAATAAGGTAATTAGTTTATAGATCTCTTCATAGATCTTGGTCTTTAACATCTTCTTTTAAACTTTTTTCTGTACAATGAACATTGGCTGTAAAAATGAGGATGTTTTTTAATCTTTTTCTTCTGATTCCTGCCTTTTATGTTAAAGCTTTTATAGTTTTATTGTTGTCTTATTTTTTTTTTCTGATTTATAAAACCTTCTATGGTATACTCTCCCCCCCCCCTCATGAACTCTTTTCTATGAAACTTCTTTTTTATATAAAATTTTACATTTTATTTGCAGTTATTTTCATTTTTCATAAGGGTTCTTTTACTTTCTTACTATTTTTTTCATTACAAATTTTTTTTCTATTCGTATAGACCATCATGTATCTTTCATCTTTATGATAAGGGTCCTTATTCTTATTGTTTTCATAGATTTTTTGTTTCTGAATTGTCTAACCTTCTATTCTCTGTATATGCTCCCCCTCTCTCTCACCTCTCTCTTGCCTCTCTCCCCTCGCTCTTGCCTCCCCCCTCCCCCTATCTCTTGACCTTTTCCCCTAACTCCCACTGCTGAATTAACCTTTTGTTCTTTTATAAATTAATTTATACAGTTAAACCCTAAATAAGCCATACATCGAAGAATTCATCAAATGTCGTATCCTCCACTTTCTGAAAATGAAATGTTGCAGATATTTGGTTTTTTAAAGGATTACATGAAGCTCTTTCAAACTGTTCCCGCATATTCTTGGCTATTTATTTATTTTCGCAAATACTAAAATTTAAGTAAAATTGTCAAGACTACATTTGATAAATTCTTTTGATGTATGGCTCATTTAGGGTTTAACTATATAATAGTGCGTAGATCAAATATATTTTCTTTTCTAAGAAGTTAATTAAGAAATAATTACCTTTCACAAGAAAAATAATAAAAAATATCCTTTGTTTGCTATAATTTATAGAATTTTTAACAATAATAAACTTCGAAAACAGTCATCTGAAGTGCAGCAGCAGCATGTTGCCAATTACTCTCTTTAAATTACATCTGGAATAAAGTGCGATGTAGGTCTAAAATGTACATTGTACAATGTACAGGGTTAAGAAATGTATAAGTGAGTTAGTAATGAAATACCAAAGGCCAAGGGTTGTAACCCGGTCTAGAATATTGATGCATAATTTCCAAAGCTGTCTGGATCNCCAAACCTTCAGGTAGATTGATATTTAAATATGCAGTCTCATCGCATCTGATCCATCTATGCATAATGTTATCAGGCATATCAGAATACTTAAGTATCAAGTACCATTTTAGTATACAATCGATAACAAGATATTTTTTAAGTACGTAAACATGTTTGGGAGAATTGTAAACATGTTTGGAAGAAATTTAATCATGTTTGGGAAGAATTCAAAAATGGTTGAGAGGATTTAACCATGTTTGGTAAGAAATAAAAACATGTTTGTGAGGAATTTAAACAAGTTTGGGAGAAGTGTAAGCATGTTTGGTAGGAATGTAAACATGTTTGGGAGCATTGTAATCATGTTTGGGAAGAATTCAAAAATGGTTGAGAGGATTTAACCATGTTTGGTAAGAAATAAAAACATGTTTGGGAGGAAGTTAAGCAAGATTGGGAGGAATGTAAGCCTATTTGGTGTGAATGTAAACATGTTTGGAAGAAATGTAAATATGGTTGCAAAAAATGAAAAAAAGAAACCAATGTGAATCGTTTAAGGCACTTTTTAAAAGTGAACATCTGTTTAAAATTTGTTTAAGTGTTTACTTTTAAGGAGGAACTGACTGTACAAGCTTGTGTAATCTACCATCATATTCTCATGTACATGGGAGATATACCAGGCCGCCGTACAAGACTTGGAATGGAACTCACAGACGTCATATTTGATGGTCCTCTTAAACACGTAAGTGCTAAGTATATTTTACTTTGTACTGTAAAAATAGACAGTAAATCATACTGCCAATTAAAAAAACAGCTGACTAGTGTTTACATTTACATATTTAGGAAATACTACGGGATGTAGTGTACTGTCAAATAATGAAACAGCTGACTATTGCTTATATATTTAGGAAATACCACGGGATGAAGTGTACTGTCAAATAATGAAACAGCTGACTATTGTTTACATATTTAGGAAATACTACGGGATGAAGTGTACTGTCAAATAATGAAACAGCTGACTGAGAATAGAAACCGGTTATCTGAGGAGAGAGGCTGGGAACTAATGTGGTTGGCTACGGGATTATTTGCTTGCTCTCAGAACCTAATGAAGGATTTAAACCAGTTTCAAAGAACAAGACGACATCCAATAGCACTGGATTCTATTCTAAGATTACAGAAGACGATTAGACATGGACAAAGGAAATATCCTCCTCATCAAGTTGAAGTGGAAGCAATTCAGCATAAAACAACTCAAATATTTCACAAAGTATACTTTCCAGATGATACGGATGAGGTAATTTAAATGTTTAAGTAAATCTCTGATTTTCAGGAAGCTATTGAAAAAGTTTTTTTTTATGAAGATTACACAGGTTATCTTATCTCCCCATCCGGTTTAACCATTAAGAACTATTACAAAATAATATGATTTGGATATAATATCTTTTAATCATAAATTCCTTGACATTCCAAAAAAGATATTACTATATTTTTTCATTACAGGCATACGAGGTTCATTCTTCAATGAGAACTGTAGATCTATGCAATAGAATAGCCCACAGGTAACCCAGACAACATTCAACATATAAGAACAGACAATAGACAACAGACAACAGACAACAAACAACAGACAACAGACAGCAGACAACAGACAACAGACAACCGACAACAGACAACAGACAACAGACAAAAACAATCAACGAAAACAGACAACAACAATCAACGAAAACAGACAACACACAGTAGTCAATAGAAAGCAGACATCCGACTATACAGATTATACATACGTTCTACAAACAACAAATCAGAAAATACTTACAGACCACACGCAGAGTACAGCAAATCATTTTAAGCAAAAGAGATCAAAATTAATTATGATATAAGAATTGTAGAAGATATTTATTTTAGGTTGAAGATAAGATCAGCTGAAGGGTTCAGTTTGTTTGTCAAGATCGGAGAGAAAGTTATCTCTGTTCCCGAGGGAGATTTCTTCTTTGATTTTGTTCGACATCTGATAGATTGGATCAGGAAATCGAAATCTCCTAGAGAAGGTAATTAAATGCACTGATTGTCATTCTAATCTTGAAAAAAGTTATTACGCTTGAGTACACTGCCTCTGTATAGATACTTGCGCCTCTGGTGGTAAAAAGCATTACAAAATGTAAATAATTTGACGTGTACTATAACTACATATGTACTCAAATGCTTTAAAACTCGTTTAAACTTGATGAGATGATTTTTACTCTTCATTTTTTCTACCTAAAGATCTCCAACTAGTTGAAATATTAAAGAAAATTAAGATCCCAGCGTGCCATAGCTATACCATACCTTGATAGATAACATCCTAGATATTCAACATTTTCAATACTTTCGAATTCGGGTATATATATATATATACTATGCACTAACCTGGGATATATATCTACACTTTGCACCAACCTGGAATATATATCTGCACTATGCACCAACCTGGGATATATATCTACACTATGCACCAACCTGGGATATATATCTGCACTATGCACCAACCTGGGATATATCTTCACTATGCACCAACCTGGAATATATATCTGCACTATGCACGAACATGGGATATATTTCTGCACTATGCACCAACCTGGGATATATATCTGCACTATGCACCAACCTGGTATATATATCTGCACTATGCACCAACATGGATATATATCTACACTATGCACCAACCTGGGATATATATCTACACTATGCACCAACCTGGGATATATATCTACACTATGCACCAACCTGGGATATATATCTGCACTGTGCACCAACCTGGGATATATAACAGCACTATGCACCAACCTGGGATATATATCTGCATTATGCACCAACCTGGGATATTTATCTGCACTATGCACCAACCTGGGATATATATCTACACTACGCACCAACCTGGGATATATATCTGCACTGTGCACCAACCTGGATATATTTATCTGTACTATGCACCAACCTGGGATATATATCTGCACTATGCACCAACCTGGATATATTTATCTGTACTATGCACCAACCTGGGATATATATCTGCACTATGCACCAACCTGGATATATTTATCTGTACTATGCACCAACCTGGGATATATATCTGCTATGCACCAACCTGGGATATATATCTGTACTATGCACCAACCTGGGATATATATCTGCACTATGCACCAACCTGGATATATATATCTGCACTATGCACCAACCTGGTTACACACCTCTAACCTTGAGTTTAAAGTTCAGGGTTTAACCGTGTATTTAACTCTTGTGCTAATTCCTCGGCGAGCCCTTCATCTTTCTGCACTCTAACCTTGCTTTGTAATATACGAAGCATTGTTAATATTAAAGAGTTTGCAAGGAGTTAACTCATTTGGCAAATTCATCAAAGTTTTTATGTTAGAAATAAACTTTTTAAGGGACAAATGAATTTTTATTTCAAACTATGCAAAATTTTTAGTTTTATTTTTAAAATTTTTGATGTGCTACATTAGAGCACTTTTTTTATTTCATTCTCTCGTTACACATTTTTATTTATCAGATTGAAAGCAGTCTAGTCTAGTAGAGTGAATTAAACTAACAGATCGTGATATGTTAAGAGTTTAAGGTCTTCATTAAAGTCCTTTGTGGGCAACCTTGAATGTAATCATTGTAATAGCCAGGCATTTAGAGATTACATGGAGGAAAAAACAAGACAATTTATGTGACATATGTGCAGTACTTGCATTTTACTCCTTACTAATTAATCCTATGTTGGTAGATTTAAAAAAATAATTTCTTCGATTAAAAAGTGCCATATTTAATTCACAGATTTTATACATTCTTAATATGAATCTAAAAATAGCTGCGTAAAACTTGTTTTAGTTCCTGTCCAGTTTTCATGATAAATTTATTTCAGTTCCTGCCCTGTTTTCATGCTAAATTAGTTTCACTTCCTGTCCAGTTTTCATGCTAAATTTGTTTCAGTTCCTGTCCAGTTTTCATGCTAAATTTGTTTCAGTTCCTGCCCAGTTTTCATGCCAAGTTTTGTTTCAGTTCCTGCCCTGTTTTCATGCCAAGTTTTGTTTCAGTTCCTGCCCAGTTTTCATACCAAGTTTTCTTCATGAGAAAACTATGGACAAGTATTATCCCTGGGAAAGACCGACAAGCAGACATCATCTTTCATTATCATCAGGTATACGCAATAGCTAATTGATGTAATAGATAGCTTAATACTTTGATAGCTCAATTGCTCAATAATGTAATAGCTCAAATAAGATTTAGTAGGTTGTTTTATATCCTATTTATTCATTGATTCACAGATTCAAAAGCTTAATCATTTACTGTATATAAATCATTTGATAGCTCAATGATTTACTAATTCAATGTTTTGCTTTTTAATTGGCTCAGGCTCACAAGCTCAATGATTAATGCTATTAGCAAGCTCAATTTTTCAGTAGCTGATTAGCCTACTGGCTAATCAGCTAACGAGCAATGAGCGTACTATCTGACTGTAGCTAGTTTTTAATTGGATAAACCTGTTGATAACTCATTAAACCTAATTAACTCTAAAGTACTTGATCATTGTGCATTTCACCTTCTTACAAATCAGCTTGATTAATGACACTTCATAAATTAAGATAATTTTGTCTGTAATATAATTATACAACATTTCGTTTACTTAATCTTTATTTTTCGGAGATATTTTCATACACACTTAATCTAATGTTTGATCTAACATAAGCTCAATGAAGGTTTGTTGATGCTCAAAATTACAAAAAATTGTCTCCACAAATTTTTGATTTAATTAAAATTTAAAAATTCCATGGAAAAATATCAATGAATCCGCGAGCTTTGTTATTATTTTATATTGCACTAAAGAGAAGGTACTTACAAATAGAGCACAATTAAAAGTTAGAATAGAAGATTGACGCGAAGCCCCTAAGAAGCCGATTAATTTTCATGATTTCAATTAACTTTCATGTTGTTTCTACCTAATTTAAAAGTTAAGAAACATAAATAAATACTTGTGCACATATTTGATCAGTAAATTCATTATGTTTGCTCACTAATTGATGTTTAGTTTATCATCAATTTTCAATAAATCAATTCATATTGCCAACCTATAGCTTCATTGATGAATAATAAGAAGGATGAATTAATGAATTAATGAATAAACGATCATATTAACAGGATGATCATCGAATATTAAACCGATCATTTATTCTTTACAAATGCACAATATAAGTGACAGAATTAAAAGGGTATTTGAACGAAAGGGTGGCAGAATGAACGAAAGGGTGATAGGCTGAATGAAAGGGTGGCAGAATAAACGAAAGGGTGATAGAATGAACGAAAGGGTGATAGGATGAATGAAAGGGTGGCAGAATGAACGTAAGGGTGGCAGAATGAACGAAAGGGTGGCAGAATGAACGAAAGGGTGGCAGAATGAACGAAAGGGTGGCAGAATGAATGAAAGGGTGGCAGAATGAATGAAAGGGTGGCAGAATGAACGAAAGGGTGGCAGAATGAATGAAAGGGTGATAGGATGAATGAAAGGATATTTTGGAGGATTAAAGGATAATAGGTTGAAAGAGTAAACGATTGTAAGGATTTAAAAATTTGAGGACAAAGATTAAAGAATTAAAGAATGGGATGACGAAAGGACGAAAGAACGAAATGTCAAAAGGAAAAAAGGACAAAAATACGAAAGGACGAAAAGACGAAAGGAGGAAAGGACGAAAGGAGGAAATGACGAAAGGACGAAAGGGCGAAAGGACGAAAGGAGGAAAGGACGAAAGGAGAAAGGGACGAAAGGACAAAAGGAAGAAAGGATAAAAGAATGATGAGGTAAGCCAATGAAAGGATGTCAAGATGAACTGATGATAGTGTATCAGGTTTAAAAAGTAAAGAACTAGAAAATTAAATCATTGAATAAAGAAGTATAGAGAAAAGTTTAAAGTATAAAAGTGAACGGAAGAAAAGTTTACAAGACTGATTATTTAGGAGTACCCAAAGTTGCTCCGAGGCTACCACCAGTGTAGTAAAGAGGAGGCTGCTGTCCTGGCCTCCCTCATGTACAGGATCAACTACTCCGAGACCAAGCAGGACATCTCCGCTGTTCTCAAGGATATCCTTCCAGTAGATCTGCAGAAGCAGGTTCCAACCCAGGACTGGAAAAGGGAGATTGCTAAAGCGTACAACCAAGATTCAGGAATGTCCTCTGAAGACGCAAAAATTGCGTTTCTCAAGGTAATTTGATTTTTATGTGAAAATTTGATAAAGAAATATCATAATCTTAATTTATCTAGATTTTTTTTGATAAACTTATTATTTTGAACAAAATGAAATTTATCTAGCTTGAAGGCTCTGAAGTAATCTATGATAGTTAGGGTTAACGTTGGCCATAGACTAATTATAAAGCAATTATTGCAAAGAATCTTTTTTAGCATTGTTAAAAACTATTTAAAAGTTTTTGGTGAATAGATATGGGAATGTTAAGACTTAATTAAGAATTGAGTCTTTACTAAAAATCCTAATTTTCTAATACCAATATCTCTACAATGTAAACCTTTGATATTTCTAACTTAGATTATTTGATATAACAGAATTCATAGTTTGAAATATCTAAGGTCTACAAGTTACAACATTGGGTTGTTAAGATGTAGGAATTTTAAAGTCAGAGTTTATGCCAAAGACTCAGTTGAGAAACACAAATATGTATGTAATAAGTTGACTTTGACCATTCATCCCTTTTTAAAAATTTTAAATAATGTATTATCTTAATTCTTCATGTTGTAGGTTATCTATCGTTGGCCAACCTTTGGTTCAGCTTTCTTTGAAGTAAAACAAACCACAGATCCAAACTATCCTGATCTTCTACTCATAGCAATCAATAAACAAGGAGTCAGTCTTATTCATCCACAATCAAAGGTAAAAAAGAATATTGAAAAAATAAAAATATCCTAAAATTAGTGATTTTTAAGCCTTGTATTTAATGCGTAAGACGTTACTTTTGTTGTGACTATTTAGTCAGCACTTTTTGAATGAGTTTTTAACACCATCCTAACCCAACACATATAATTATTTTTTCGGTCATTTCCCAAATCAAAACTTACCAACTAAGTGCAATACATTCACTGAAAACTAACCAGATGAAGAAGGTAACATGTACTACTGGTACTACTTTGTGACCTCTTGATCTTAGCTCCTCGAGATTTTAATTTTTTCAGAAGTATGTAAAAAGTAAATTTATCCTGTTTACAGATTAGAAATTTAAAACATTATTGTTCTTCTTTTCAATAAGAGGAGTTAGGATTGAAAACATAAAATATTTCAAAGAAATTGTGTTTTTGCCACAAACGCAAATTTTCTAATCCTCATATCTTCGCAACCACCTTAGATATTTCAAGCTAGAAATTCCCTTAGATCAATTAATCTAAGTTTGAAATATAAAAGGTTTACAACATCAGGTTGTATAGATATAGGAATAAGAAAAGACTCAATTCCTTTACTTGCAATTTACTTTAGCTTGACGCACACTGTACAGTGAACGAATTTTAAACAATGCTGCAGTATTACGAAATATAAGTTCAAAGAAATATTGAAAGAAAGTTTTCTGGTTTTCTCTTAATTTGAAGCACGCGCACATAAAGTTTAGAACCATAGCGTGCAATATGGTTGCGTGTGATGCAACCCTGTGTGTGAAATTACTGAATAATGTATTAAATATCATGAGAAACCTAGACTATATACATTTACTAGATAGATATATTTTATACATAGATGAAACCTAGACCATATACATTTACTTATAGATAGATATATATTATACATAGATGAAACCTGGACCATATACATTTACTAGAGAGATATATATTATACATAGATGAAACCTAGACCATATACATTTACTAGATAGATATATTATACATAGATGAAACCTAGACCATATACATTTACTAGATAGATATATTATACATAGATGAAACCTAGACCATTTACATTTATACATAGATGAAACCTAGACCATTTACATTTACTAGAGAGATATATACTATACATAGATGAAACCTAGACCATATACATTTACTAGATAGATATATATTATACATAGATGAAACCTGGACCTCATACGGACTATATATATATACAAAAAGTAAAAATAGGTGAAATTAACACTGCATACATATAGAGTAGATATATATAGATTAACGAGTATCCTGAAGATTGCATAGCTTAAAACATGATGTTGATACAATTAAAAATTCAAATTATTTGTTGAAGCCATCTTTTCTTATAGATAAATCCTAAAGACTACATACAAAAAGTAGAAATAGATAAAACTTACACGTTACACCACATACATAATATTTACAGTAATATATAAATAGATATATATACAACTTTCACGTTACATTACATACATAATATTTACAGTAATGTATAAATAGATATATATACACTACATACAATTAAGTAGTAGAAATCGATGAAACTTACACGTTACATTACACGCATAATAATTTATAGTAATATGTCAATAGATATATATGTACACCAATACACTATATACATTAGTAGAAATAAATGAAACTTAGATATACATACATTTTGTAGACATATATAGATGAAACCTTCACTTCTAAAAATAGTTTAGATATACATCTATATATTATTGAATACTGAATAGTTTAGATATACATCTATATATTATTGAATACTGAATAGTTTAGATATACATCTATATATTATTGAATACTGAATAGTTTAGATATACATCTATATATTATTGAATACTGAATAGTTTAGATATACATCTATATATTATTTATAAACTGAATTGAATATGAATGCTAAACATTAATTAAATTTAGATATAAAACCTAGATTCTAATAGCAGATAAATGCTAGATGATATTGTGAAATTTAAAATGTTCAATAAACATTATGAGATGGGGCCGGGAGTGGCTTAATGGGACCTTCCATGCAAAAATGACACTGACCGATTTACAATGGTACCCTTGAAACCTTAATCTGGTCAAAAAAGTGGAAGATACCGTCGTTTTTCTAATACGAAAAGTATTTTTTTCTGATAATTTCTCCATTGCTTCTTATAAACAAGAAATGCGCAAGTCCCTTTCGCATAGAAACCGCAAATGAAAATAAATAAGCACGTGAATATCGAATTCATACTTGATCATACAAAGCTTTTAAGGGTACCGTTGTAAATCGGGTATTGTCATTTTCGCAAGGAGGACCACTTGAAATTACGCTTGTGCAGTCCTTTTCAGCTATAGGGTGTATCCTTTGATGGATATAACAATTTGTAATTCTGTACTGAAAGTGAGTACTGACTCGCTAAAATATCATTACAAAAATAAATTCACCTTTTAATCTTAAATTCAAGAAAATAGCATTTTTTTCCAGAATTTCAGTATTTTCAACTTTTAAAGTTTACACATTAAAATACAATTTTATTATGCATATTTTTCAATGCTAACATAATTATTTTACATATAAAAATATAACTTGGATGTACATTGTACAAATTGTTTCCTATGAGCTGACATATTAATGAGAGAACTAATAAAATAAAGTTGGGATTGGGGTTGTGTGTGTGTGGGGGGGAGGGAGGGGGAGGGAGGGAATGTAATATTTAATCTGCAATTTTCTGCTGAAATTGTTTTCACTGGAATCTTTTTACACGGTCAAAATTTGGCATTTAAATACTGTCTTTAAAGTTTAAAGGTTTAAAGGTCTTAAGGTTTTGAGTTCAGACATATTTTGCATATTCATGTGCTCATGGGTGCAGTGCCCAGTGCAAAGACTAGATTTTCTAGATATTCTGTAAATATGCAAATTTTCATTATTGAATATTCATGTTTTTTTTTTGCAAAATACAAGTCAAGTTTTATATTTTCCAAAGCAGCCAGACCTCAGGGTTATAGTTCACACCAACTACTCTCCTCTGATTGATAACAGAAGCTGGGGCGTAACATTTTTGTTTTTAAATCTAAAGACCAAATAAAAGCTAGGACTTTCTGAATCTATCAATGGCAAGTTGAACCCTTTCTCTTAAACTTGAACCAGTGAAAAACTGCCGGCCAAAATTTGTTCTTTTTACGATTTTTTAAAAATTATTAATATATTTTTTTTTTGTCTTTTTGGGTTTGATAAACAATTGGCGCCTTGAAAAGTTATATTAAATAGATAAGATTATAACTGGAAAAAGGGACGCAGAGCAACCTAAAATCCTAGTTCAATAATTCAATATTTTCTCACAAATATAGAATAGTCTGCAAGTACCACTCTGATAATTTGTAAAATGCGGTGAGCTTAAAATTTGATTTTGTATTTTCTTTCAGGAAATCCTAGTGACCCATCCGTTCTCCCGTATTGCGAGCTGGTCAAGTGGACCTGGATACTTCAACATGAACCTAGGGGAGCCGGGTCGAGGTTCGAGGCTGCTCTGTGAGACGAACCTCGGTCAGAAGATGGATGATCTACTAACCTCGTATATATCTCTCATGCTAACTAATGCTAACAAGAAGCAATTAGGCGGGAAACAAAAGTAAAACCGGTTTTGGAAATACAAAAATCCGTGAAGAAAAGCGCAATTAGTGTTCATGTTAATGTTTATGAAAGTAAATTGTTAAAAATTAGTGAAACGGTGCCAAAACTTGAAGTTTACGAATGTTAGCCAAACATTTCAATATGTCTCTTTAAAAACCCCTTATTGTCATCTGTTTCAAAAATTGTACTTATTTTGTCGAAAACCTAAAAGATGTTTAAAAACAAATATGTATTTTGTTTAGTGAAATTTTCACGGTCGTTCTGACTTGCTTTATTCTTATATTACACACCAAACCTTTACTATTCTCTATTTACATTAAACAAACAAAATAATCAGTATTCTCTGCATATATTAAATTTTACCGTATGTACATAGTACATACATGTACATGTACAAGTACAAGTGATGGTTGCACGAATTGTAAAACATTAATTTGGTATAAAATGTTTAATTTAAAGTTGAAAGTTTTCAAGTACGACCATATTACACTATAGTCCTATATTCTGTATTAAAAAGTATTCCTGTTATAAAATATACAATGTTAATAGAAATATATATTTTTAAACTTAACCTGATACCATTTAAAAATAATATTGTCTATTTATTAGAACAAATGAAAGTTACTTAATAAATTATTCGTTGAAACATTTTTTAACGATATCGTTCTATGCTGAGACTTTAACTATCTTTAAAAATTGGCTTTTCAGAATTAAAAAGAAACTTTATCACTGAAATTAAGGAAATTAAATTCAACCATTTCTATTATATTTGTTGAAACCTGCAGTCTTATGAAGCTAGAGCATTTGAATTTGCAAATTTAAACCACATTTTCAAAGCATGTGAACGTATACGTATTCGATGATGGTGCATTGTGTATTTTGTTAAAACTAAATCGAACAGCCTTGGTAAAACTCACGACAAACAATTCACACAAATCTCAACATCACAGGAAAATATTATACAGTGTATCAGTTGCAATGTTTCCTGCAAGATTAAAGCAAATATTGTTTAAAATGTTCATTTTCCTCTAAATAGTTTGCGAAAGACCTAAGCTTTTGGACATTTGAAAAAAGTCTTTCTAATCGAAACGAATCAGGCATGGAATTATTGTTTATTAAATTTTTCAGAGTCTTAGAGAAGTTTTTGTATTATGCTTTACTTCTGTTATATTAGGTTGGGTTAAAAAGAGGTGTTATGCTCAATCATTATTTTTATTACAGTAGCGAAATACAGATAATTCAATGAAACCTATTCTAAAACTAGATCTGATACTATTTAGGAGGGCTTCTGTTCTACTCTAAACCTAGAAATAAAACCATTGAGGACGATTTCCATTCTACTCTAAACCTAGATCTGATATATCCATTTAGGATGGTTTCCATCCTACTCTAAAACTAGATCTGATATATCCATTTAAGACGGTTTCCATCCTACTCTAAAACTAGATCTGATATATCCATTTAGGACGGTTTCCATCCTAATCTAAAATTAGATCTGATATATCCATTAAGGACGGTTTCCATCCTACTCTAAAACTAGATCTAATATTATTTAGAACGGTTTCCATCCTACTTTAAAACTAGATCTGATAACATTTAGGACGGCTTCCATCCTACTTTAAAACTAGGTCTGATAAAGTCATTTAGGACGGTTACCATCCTACTTTAAAACTAGATCTGATAGTATTTAGGACGATTTCTATTATACTCTAAAACTAGGCCTGATATATTTATTTAGGATGGTTTCCTTTCTGCTCTAAAACTAGTTCTGATAAATTCATTTAGGATAGTTTCCATCCAACTTTAAAACTAAATCTGATTCTCTTTAAGAGTGTTTCCTCTTAACTTGTAAGAAACCTGAGTCTACAACTGTGTATATTATGGCCTGGAAAGACCGATTTAAGGAGACATGAAGAATGACCATGACATGTGGTCCTGCGGGTCCAAACTAGACCACACACGTTGTACACAAACAGACCTTTATACAGACAGAACTTTTATTTTTGCATATTTTGGGCATATGGCTGCAAACATTAAATATCTAAACTTTTACATTTATCAAACTTTGAATTTTTAATTGTTTGTGTACATAAAATGATTTTATTTTACGAAAGTCATTGTTTAATAGATTTTAAACTTAAAGGAAAAGTAGGCATTAATTTTAGTGGTCTTCCATTGGCTGATTTTTATACCCTTTAAGCCTTAGTCTGAGCAAAGTTAGGTTAGGTCAACTTGCGGTTTTCTATGAATGTCCAAATTTGTGCAATCGGAGAAAAAGAATGAAATGGTCAGAATTTAACGCTTTTCCGGAAAAATTCCGATATCTTCCATATGGGTGATCGGATATAGGTTTAAAGGGGATCGTTGGGAACGTGACAAGCCTCTCTTTAAATGAAAGTTGATTTAACAATTAAAATTCTGTGGATATTTTATGGATTACCAATATTTTCTCATGGTTAGTTATTTTCCAATTGATATTAGAAAACCAACCCTGACACCATACGGTAGAAAAACTTTTGTTTTATTTGATTGTTTCGATGGAGCAACAAAAATTACTTGCAAAAATATTTTAAATATTTGAATCCGATCCGACATTTTGATATCTTATTAATTTATCCGTAAAAAATGACGCAATCAATGTATGATAGATAGCATTACTTTGAGCAAGAGATGCTTTTAACAATTACGAAATTTTTAAGAGTGGTAATTTTGGTTCGTAACCTGGAAAGTGCGTAGTGCCCTAAATAATAAGAAATTAAGTGAAGAAATAAAAATTAACTCTTGTTTAACCTCAAGTCGCAGTCTGTGCAGTGCAAAGAAATTCAGTCTTTGCCGCAAAATTCAATTTTCTATAATCCCTTTATCTTTCCAACCTGATCATGTGAACCTTGGATATTTCAAAATTATATGATTAAATCTTACAGAATTCAAAGTTTGAAATACAGGGATTAGAAAATCAGAGTTTGTGGCAAAGACTAAAATCATTTTGTTGAAAGTTTGATCTTGAAACTTATATTTCATGTTCGGAATATGACGGAAATTTTACAGTTTTAATCAGGGGAGGGGGGGAGGGGGGACAATGTCAATCCTTTACAGGATGTAATTGTAGTAACCTTGAGAGAAGTAAGGCGGTGCATGACTGAAATCTTTTTTTTTGCATGACATGCTATACTTATTTCGCTGTACCCTCCCTAATGGTAAAATTTTTCAAATTCTTTAAAAAATTTTAGAACATTTTTTGTGAGATTTAACAAAAAATTAAAATATAAATTAAATTTTTGTGAGTATTTTCACAAATTTCTAGTCTTTCTATAACTCTAAATGCTTTAAAATCGTTTGCAGAACCCCAGATTTTGTCTGGTCTGAGTCACTATAATTCAATGAGAGACCATCTTGAATCTTAATGAAATTATAGGCGAAATTTCAAGTGACCCTCTCTATGAAGAAAAACATCTTCAACCATGATCAACTTTTCCGACAAGAAACTTTATTTATATATTATACTTTATTCTTGTTTTTGTCTTATCATATGACATTGCTGACAGTGACAATTACAGGGCAATTGCCATCGGCAGCTTGATTCTAAAATGGTTTGACTGGTTGATATTAATTCTAAACTCTGATAAGCTGACCACAGATGAACTTCAGTTTGGTTTTCAGAAGCTAGCCAGTGATTAATTCTAATAATTTCTCTATTGTTTTCCAGCAGTAGAAATGCGCAAGTCACATTTGTAGAGAAACCACAGATGAAAATAATCATTTTCCAAATTATACACATGGATAAATAATTCTAACTTTATCATACAAATCTTTATTGGGAATCTTTTTAAATTTTATCAATGAAAATTACGTTTACGGACCCTGATTCAAGGTGGAAGGATGTTTATAAGATCTTCGCCACATGTTCAGATTCACACATGGTGCTGTATAACGTTAGTTAAATTAATACAATATTGGTTTCATTATGAGTGATTATATACAGTTAAATCTTGGGCATCTTGCAGGGATAAATATTTTTCTAGAAATTCTTAATCCAACAATCATATGTCTACAAAGTGAACAATAATGTTGATGTGAGAGGATAAAAATGTTCAGCAGACCAGTTTAGAGAAAACGAATTATTTCCTCAGCATCTAGAGAAGTAGGAGCTCTCAGCAACCCATCTGTTGTCATGATGTAGCTGTATATCAGGATAGGATAGGAGATACAGCAGATTTCTCTCATGTATACTATATACTCTAGTTCTAGCTGTATATCAGGGTAGGCTAGGAGATATAGCAGATTTCTCTCTGTATACTGTATACTCTAGTTCTAGCTGTATATCAGAGTAGGATAGGAGATATAGCAGATTTCTCTCTGTATACTGTATACTCTAGTTCTAGCTGTATATCAGAGTAGGATAGGAGATACAGGAGATTTCTCTCTGTATACTGTATACTCTAGTTCTAGCTGTATATCAGGGTATTGGAGAAGATATAGCAGATTTCTCTCTGTATACTGTATACTCTAGTTCTAGCTGTATATCAGGGTATTGGAGAAGATATAGCAGATTTCTCTCTGTATACTGTATACTCCAGTTCTAGCTGTATATCAGAGTAGGATAGGAGATACAGCAGATTTCTCTCTGTATACTGTTTACTCTAGTTCTAGGTGTATATCAGGGTAGGCTGGGAGATACAGGAGATTTCTCTCTATATACTGTATACTCTAGTTCTAGCTGTATATCAGGGTAGGCTAGGAGATACAGGAGATTTCTTTCTGTATATACTGTATACTCTAGTTCTAGCTGTATTTCAGGGTATTGGAGAAGATATAGCAGATTTCTCTCTGTATACTGTATACTCCAGTTCTAGCTGTATATCAGGGTAGGATAGGAGATACAGCAGATTTCTCTCTGTATACTATATACTCTAGTTCTAGCTGTATATCAGGGTAGGCTAGGAGATACAGGAGATTTCTCTCTATATACTGTATACTCTAGTTCTAGTCGTATATCAGGGTAGGCTAAGAGATACAGATTTCTCTCTGTATACTGTATATTTCAGTTCTAGCTGTATATCAGGGTAGGATAGGAGATACAGCAGATTTCTCTCTGTATACTGTATACTCTAGTTCTAGCTGTATATCAGGTATTGGAGGAGATATAGCAGATTTCTCTCTGTATACTGTATACTCTAGTTCTAGCTGTTTATCAGGATAGGATAGGAGATATAGCATATTTCTCTCTGTATACTGTATACTCTAGTTCTAGGTGTATATCAGGGAAGGCTAGGAGATATAGCAGATTTCTCTCTGTATACTGTATACTCTAGTTCTAGCTGTATATCAGAGTATTGGAGAAGATATAGCAGATTTCTCTCTGTATATTGTATACTCTAGTTCTAGCTGTATATCAGGGTATTGGAGAAGATATAGCAGATTTCTCTCTGTATACTGTATACTCTAGTTCTAGGTGTATATCAGGGTAGGATAGGAGATATAGCAGATTTCTCTCTGTATACTGTATACTCTAGTTCTAGGTGTATATCAGGGTAGGATAGGAGTATAGCAGATTTCTCTCTGTATAATATATAATTAATAATTTATATCCAAAATATGTTTATTTTATTCTAACACATGAAATATAAACAATAAAATTAATTATTCACATATTTTATTTTTAACATAAATATCATAGATGTCGTTCAACCAATCACAGGCGACAAGTCCTAACAATTGGATTAAATCCAGCATGAAAAACATTTTATACATAGAAGAAAATTAACATTTTCAATCCGTCTTCTTAATCAATTTATGCAGTTATCAAGTTTATCAACTGTTAATAGTAACAAAAATGATACGAATAAAATAATAAATAAAAAAAAAATGATTATTAGATGCATCCAAAAATTATCTTTTTTTGTGAGGTTTATTTCTTTGTAACAATGAATGATAAATAATTGTACAAAGGAATTGAGTCTTTGGAACAAAATCCAATATTTAAACCTCAATATCTTTAGATCTCGATGTTGTAAACCTTTGATATTTCAAACTCAGATTATTTGATCTAGCAGAATTCATAGTTTGAAATATCTAAGGTCTGCAACATTTGGTTCCAAAGATATAGTGATTAGAAAATCAGAGTTTGTGGCAAAGACTCAATTCCTTTGTAAGATTTATACCAAACGGATGAAAATGAATTGTGTGCGTAAGTGTAAAACATTAATTTTGTGAACAAATTTTGTGACACTGGAATCATCATATTCAACTTGAAACCATCCTTAACTTTCCTGGCTAACTACCTTTTGTTTAGCACCTAATCCTTCAATTTAACATCCCCCAACCCCCTTGTCACCCTCCCCCCTTCCTTACCCCTCCCTCCCCTCCCCCTGGTTGTAAGAATGTGAAAATCTGGCATTATATCTTGTCACTCACTCACTTTCACTGCATAAATACACGAGCACTGCAGTATACAGAACACACTAGCTAATTACAACACAACAACATGTGTACATGTACAAATATACAAATTCAACATGTACATATTTTCAAACAAACACAACTTAAGACATGCGTAACAAATATTATATTGAAATTAAGTTAGTTTCCATAATTGTAAATTTTTTCAAAAATCTACTTATGTATGTGTGCTTTAAACACAGCTCATATTTACATTCTAAAATGTATAAATGGTAAAAAATCAAGCTTTTGATTGGTAATATTTACGTTAGTCCCTTGGGAGGCATTATTTCTTTCCAGTACTGTACAGTAGGTATAAAACAGTACAGTTCTTTACAGTTATTATCAGTACATTGCAGACCGGTTGCAGTGCATACCTTTAAAAGTGCAGAACTATACCGTACATAAAGTCCTATTGAGTACTGAATAGTAAATAAAAGTACAGTGCAGTACCGTATTGTACATAGCAGTAAAAGTCCTATTGATTACTGAATAGTAAATAAAAGTACAGTGCAGTACCGTATTGTACATAGCAGTACAGTTCAGTACTGTATAATAAAAAACAATACAGTTCAGCACTGAATAGTACAAAACAATTCAGTGCAGAACTGTACAGTTCATAACAATTCAGAGCAGTAGCGTAAGGCCCTTCATATAAAATTCAGTACAACTCAGCACGGATGCAAAAAGTATCAACAGGGTCATGCAAAAACGCTGCTTTAGTTACTTCAAATTTAGCCAGATGCAGCCTTAAGTCAGACCGCGTCAATCTAGTTGCACCAGCTGGACCTGCCTACTGTAGTTGGTGTACCGGGCGGGGCCGTACGAACTAGGACTTATTCAAATGTACATAAGTTGAGTGTGATCTCTACTTGACTCTGATGCTCTTCTGCTTGTTCATGTTAGTGAGCATGAGGCTGATGTACGAGGTGAGGAGGTCGTCCATTTTATACCCGAGACTGGTCTCGCAGAGCAGTTTACTTCCTCGAACCAAGTTACCAATTGTCATGTGGAAATATGTGTTCCCACTTGACCAGTTGGAGATACGGGTAAACGGATGTGTGACCAGAACATCCTAGACAAAGCAATATTCAAATAATATAAAATTAAACATTAAGGTGGAAAAGTTAATTTCTGAAGATTTTTTCGTTAAAGGGACTGTGGACTTCATTTAAAGGGACTTTCCATAAAAAGGGTGATATGTCCGATCTACACTGGTACCCTTTAAACCTATAGCTGAGTAACTATACCGAAGACATAGTTGTTTTTCAATCTATACACGTGCTGAATTCTGACAATTTCTTTCATTGCCTCTGTGTCTCTTTCAGAGAGAAACCACAATTGAAACTAATAAATTTTCCGAAAGAAAAAGAAGGATATCTTGTTCACCTTTGATCAGACAAAGGTTAAAAGAGTACCATTGTCAATCGCACATGTCACTTTAATATTAGAGTCACTCCAGTCCCAACAAGAAATAAAGGTAAAATGCTATTTGTATTTTTTACCTTTGATTGTGGATGAATAAGACTGACTCCTTGTTTATTGATTGCTATGAGCAGAAGATCAGGATAGTTTGGATCTGTGGTTTGTTTTACTTCAAAGAAAGCTGAACCAAAGGTTGGCCAACGGTAGATAACCTACAACATGGAAAATTAAGATAATACATTATTTAAAATTTTTAAAAAGGGATGAATGATCAAAGTCAACTTATTACATACATATTTGTGTTCCTCAAAGGAACTGAGTCTTTGGCATAAACTGTGACTTTAAAATCACTATATCTTTACAACCTAATGTTGTAGAACTTAGATATTTCAAACTATGAATTCTGTTATATCAAATAATCTAAGTTAGACATATCAAAGGTTCACGTCATCTGGTTGTAGAGATATTGAATGATCAAAATCAACTTATTTTGTTTAGAAAACCTATGAAGAACTATGATAAGGGAATTGTTTTAAACAATGTATTATACTAGCCTTAGAGGGCGCTTCGCGCCCATCTTCTAAATTAATTGTGAAAATGTTCTCTTTGTGTACATCGTAAAACAAAACAAAAATAATTCGCGGATTTTCACAAAAAATTTCGTGGATTTTCAAAATTTAAAAAAATTTAATGAAGATCGAATTTTGATGGAGACAAATATTTGAAATTTTGATCATTCATAAACCTTCCCTGGGGTCCCTAGATGTCCCACAAAAAATTTGGGCCCGATCGGTTCAGCCGTTTTGACTTTTATTGGATACAAACAGACAGACAGACACAAAGACAGAAAAACAGACAGACAAGCCAAATTTATATATAGATAGCTCCTTTCCCATAGGTATTAAATAAAATAGGAAAGAAATTGCCTTTCCCATAGGTATTAAATAAAATAGGAAAGAAATTGCCTTTCCCGTAGGTATTAAATAAAATAGGAAAGAAATTTCCTTTCCCATAGGTATTAAATAAAATAGGAAAGAAATTGCCTTTCCCATAGGTATTATATATAATAGGAAAGAAATTGCCTTTCCCATAAGTATTCAATAAAATAGGAAAGAAATTGCCTTTCCCATAGGTATTAAATACAATAGGAAGAAAATTGATCAAAAACGGGAAGTTTTTAGGTAATGTTTTAGTATGTTTTGAATTAATTATTTTATCAGAAAGAATGTAAATTAAAATTACCTTCAAAAACGCAATTTTTGCGTCTTCGGGTGACATTCCTGAATCCTGGTTGTACGCTTTTACAATCTCTCTTTTCCAGTCCTGGGTTGACATGCTCTTGAGAATATCTATAGGAAGCAGCTCTCGGAGCATATGGGGCAGAGCAGACAGCTCCTGTTTACTCTCTCCAAACTTTACTCTGTAGATGAGAGCAGCTAGCAGGGATGCTTCCTCTTTAGTGCACTGATGATACCCGCGGAGCAGTTTAGGAAGCTCCTAAAGTTTCAAAGTTAAGAATTTACGGAAACGCATATAAAGGCACTTTTTGTCTAAGATCAAATCTGACCCTAGTAACCCTTCAATATCATTATATAAAGTTAAAAGATAAATGTTTACATGGAGTTTCTATGAAATGCTGAAAAAATATTCATGAGGAGTAACAAAACAAAAAGAACGATATTTTGAAATTATTTATGAATGTAATATATAGTGGATTTCAGTGCACACTTCACACAATAATTTTAGCTTTTAAATGTTGCTTTAAATGTGAACATTTTTCTTGGTTTTAAACACTCATACTTTCTTTTTGTGCAAATTCTCTCAGTTTTATTTAATTTGATTTTTTGTTGAAACTACCCTATTTTTCCTTGACATTTGATATCATTGAGATAATTTGAAATTAAACAAAAAAAGGCCTTTAGTTTGGCTGTTTTAACCATTCCTAGGATAAGAAAACATAAAAATAAAACAGAATAAAGACCAACCTGATGGAAATGGAAAATCGTGTCCGCATTTCTATCCTTGCCGGGTATAGTGTTCGTCCACAGCTTCTTCATGAAGAACACCTGGTAGGTGAACTGGGGACTTGTTCCTAGATACATAGAAGTATGGTTGATTAGTATGGTTGGTTAGTATGGTTGATTAGTATGGTTGGTTAGTATGGTTGGTTAGTATGGTTGATTAGTATGGTTGGTTAGTATGGTTGGTTAGTATGGTTGATTAGTATGGTTGGTTAGTATGGTTGATTAGTATGGTTGGTTAGTATGGTTGATTAGTATGGTTGGTTTAGATAATATGAAAACTAGGATACATAAACCATATGGAAGCCTGATTTCATAATATTCATAAAACCACAAATATTTAGAGCTCTCATCCCCCCCCCGTTCCTATTCTCCATTCATCCAACCCAAACCCATCCCCCTCCCCCACCCCACCTTTATATACCTATCCACCTTAGCTTGAAGGAGTAATTAGCAAAGCTGGAAGAGTTTCTATACAAACTTTAATATCTCTATTCAAAACCTTCTATAGTCACAATATAAGCACAAAAACTATCTAACACTATTTCTGTACTATAAAGAGCATTTGTCATTATGGAAATAGCCCCTCCTTGTCCCTATTACACATTATAGAACTAGAAATAGTATCTACTCCGTGTCCCCATGCCATAGTGCGAGGAACAGTATCTATACTCCGTGTCCCCTTTATAGTACTAGAAAAAGTATCTACTCCGAGTCAGATTATAGTACTAGGAGTTTATCTACTCCCTGTCTCCATTATAGTACTAGGAATTTATCTACTCCCTGTCCCCATTATAGTACTAGAAATAGTAGCTACTCCATGATACTATTACTAGTATACTATAAATAGTTACTACTACGTGTAGACATCATACTAAGAATAGTAGCCACTCCGAGTACCATTAAAGTACTAGAATATCAACTCCATATCCTATAATAAACTAGTGAAAATAACTCACCATCTCTGGTCGGACGAGCCTTCTTGATCCAGTCTGTGAGATGTCGAACGAAGTCGAAGAAGAAATCTCCCTCCGGGACAGAGATTACCTTGTCTGCGATCTTCACGAACAAACTAAATCCTTCAGCAGATCGAAGGTTCAATCTTTGTGCAATGTTCGAGCAGAAATCCTTCGCGCGAGTAGAGGAGTCAACCTCGAAGGCCTAGGAAATATGGTTAAGATTAATAATATTGTTATAAAGATTTAAAATTCATGTAAATGTATCTATTATCCTATTATCCATATTTTATGGTGGATTAATAAATTGGTCAATATATCATTTTTGTGTTTATATCATATGCGACATTTAACAGATAATAATAAATCCAATTAGATAGGTGACGCCAATCATGATTTGACCAATTAAACATTTTTTTTTGTCCGCGACTGTATCTTAAATGAAAAAGTGTAAAAACCCATCCAAGGTTAATCGGTGAATTTTAGACCAGAACGCGATTTATTCGATTATAGGAGATTTATTCGATTAAGCGATTTATTCGATTAGGAGATTTATTTGATTAGGAGATTTATTCGAAAAGGAGATTTATTCGATTAGGAGATTTATTCGATTAGGAGATTTATTCGATTGAGAGATTTATTCGATTGAGAGATTTATTCGATTAGGAGATTTATTCGATTTAGAGATTTATTCGATTAGGAGAAACCGAACGCATATCGCATCTCGTCCAGCGTTGCCATGTTTTATTTGTTTGTGTAATAAGTTTTAATATGAATGATCTGAAGTATGGTGTGCCTACTGTGCATAAGATAAAATGATGGTATTTAGATATCCAGGTTTTAGTAAACAAATGTTAAGATTGAAAGGATAGGTTTGGATAGAATATAGATAGGACAGTGCAAGAAATCTTCTAAACTTGGTAGGGTCTTGTATGAATTCAAACGTCTATATATGTGTCCTTGACATCTATAAACAGGATCAATTTAAAAAAAGGACGCAATTATTCTGACGAGCTATATAGTCTAGAACTAATGAAAATACACAAGTAACGATAGGACGCACATTAGGGACGCTCTGTGGAGAACGAACTATTTCGGACGGTAACAGGACGGAGAGATGATTCCTAGTGTTAATATTTCTTCGATCGAATAGGATAGAGATGATTCTTAAGAGTCAATATTTCTTGGGTTGGATTAGGATAGAGAGATGATTCTAAAAGTCAATATTTTTAGGGTTGGAATAGGATAGAGAGATGATTCCTAACGTAGATATTTCTTGGATCGAGACAGGATAGAGAGGAGAGGATGTGATGGTAAGATAAGTTGAAACCCGTCTTTAACATCTGCTAGATTTATATACGATTGCATATTCAACCAATACATGAATAGATGGATGGATAGATAGATACACCGTGGTTAGATAGGTACAAGTTGAAGGATGGATAGATAGATAGACACAAGTTGATAGATGAAGAGAGAGATGGAAAGATAGATAGACATATTTCAGCAATATTTAGAAAATGTGAGGAATGGCAAATCACGACTTGATGATACGCACATGAGTCTAGGGAGTCTAGGTGGGGGATGCGATGNTAGGAGGAAGGAGTCTAGGGGGAGGGATGTGGTTTATGCAGGAAGGGTGGTTGTGCAAAGGTTATTTAAGGGAATGGGATTGTTGTATCATTAGATCTACAATACAGATTGAAGATATCTTTCATAATCTTTCAATACCTTTTAAAAGCTCTCACCCCACCCTTGATTCTAAAGAGGAAATATAAGCCCTTTCTTATGGCGTGATATGTTGAAAAATAAAGTTCAGGTTTTAGATTCGGTTCAAGCTTATTACATAGAAGGATTGAATGATGAACTAAGAAGTAAATCTATGTAAATGAAAAATCAAGTCATATAATTAGATTTTTTACGTTCTTTTTTATTGAGTAGAAAAAAATGAAAATTACGGATAAATTAGCCAGAATTTAACAATTCCCAAATTTAGAAAAAAATCCATTAATTTGGATTTTTTAAGACTCAAGATAATGCAATTTCAAGTCAATTGTTCAGTATTGTACAAAGCAATTTAATTCATAACAGAATATTCTCAAAGAGTTAAAATATAAAATAAAGATAAGGAATTGTAAATGTTCTGTGGATTAGTTTATAAAAATTTTTTTAATTACCTCATCCGTATCATCTGGAAAGTATACTTTGTGAAATATTTGAGTTGTTTTATGCTGAATTGCTTCCACTTCAACTTGATGAGGAGGATATTTCCTTTGTCCATGTCTAATCGTCTTCTGTAATCTTAGAATAGAATCCAGTGCTATTGGATGTCGTCTTGTTCTTTGAAACTGGTTTAAATCCTTCATTAGGTTCTGAGAGCAAGCAAATAATCCCGTAGCCAACCACATTAGTTCCCAGCCTCTCTCCTCAGATAACCGGTTTCTATTCTCAGTCAGCTGTTTCATTATTTGACAGTACACTTCATCCCGTAGTATTTCCTAAATATGTAAACAATAGTCAGCTGTTTCATTATTTGACAGTACACTTCATCCCGTAGTATTTCCTAAATATGTAAATAATAGTCAGCTGTTTCATTATTTGACAGTACACTTCATCCCATAGTGTTTCCTAAATATGTAAACAATAGTTAGCTGTTTCATTATTTGACAGTACACTTCATTCTGCAGTATTTCCTATAATTATTTGTATAAACAATAGTCAACTGTTCCATGATTTGTTTTTAAACAATAATAATATTTTTTACTAATAAATGTTAAAATTGCAAATATTTGCCAATTATCTTTAACTTATTGCAAAATTTGACAAAATATATATTTCCTTGATTCAGCTCATGTCATGTCAATTAAGATTATTTGATCTCCAGTTTTAAGGTCTATTTGTATTTCCAGCTAAAGTTTATGTTTATTCTTGGTGTGTACTGGAAACCAGGAACCTGTAATGTAAACAAAGATTGTTTGTTTTAAGCCCTAGTATCCTGACTCATAACAATGGAATTTTTAACCTTATGGAATGTGGGTGGAAAAGATTTTATCAGAAGAATAATAAATTTAAGAATCATTCTCCCGGGGTTATGGTGACTATAGGATGGAAGGAGGGGGGGGGGGGATTNACTATACTTTTTAAGATTCTAAAGTAAAAATATATTTCTGTTGTTGAATTTACCAAAAATTAAGTATTAACCTGAAGTAAATTGTTATATTTTATTGAAAAAAAGTTTTACATTTCATTTGTCCCAAATTCAAACTTTCTAATCCCTTGATCTTTGCAACTTAATAAAGCTATTACAAACTAAGTTTTTTTCCCCTGTGTATAGGTAGTGATAAGCAATACATTTGTTAGTTTTTGCAAAACTTTAAGGTTTTTTGCACTTTAAAAAGACATCAAAAAATCCGTGAAGGTTTCAGCATTTCAAAACTGTAAAGTTTGCTTTATTTCAGTTAAGCAAAATTCGTATTCCTAAAGAATGTAACTTTGCAACCCAATGTAATAGACCTTTTATATTTCAAACTATGAATTTTGTTGGATCAAATAATCTTAATTTGAAAAAAGGTTTACAAGATATTGGGATTAGAATATTTTCTTCTGTGGAAAAGACCTAATTCCTTTGGAAAATTTAACTGGAAATATAAAAAAGAAACCTTCCAAAAATCCAAATGAACCATGATATTTCTAGCATATATGCACATTGCACGCAGGATTTTCATCATTTCATGAAATGTTAATTTTCTCAACCCATTTCTTAATTTTGCAGAATTTATGATTTTCAAGTTGTACTTACATGTTTGAGGGGACCTTCAAATATTTGATCAGTCAATTCATTCCCAGTTCTGGTTCTCCTAGAACAATATAAAACTTTAAAATTCGGAGATGGTGATGGACCAAACGTCTGTAGAGTATAAAAAGTAGATGTTAGTTCCAAATTTATTAAAAATATATTTCGGTCTGGGTTGACCCTCGTCAGTTCTAAACTTTATAATAACCATCAAAATTGATAAAAAAAATATAAAAAAATGTTTGTTAAGAATCACAAGAAAATAAAGAAACAAAAAAGATTATTCAAAATAAAAATTTGGGCTGCCAAATGGACATAAGGGAAACGAACTCAGATTATCAAATGGAAAAAAGATAATTTGCAAATATTCACTTTAAAAAAATGTTTTAAGACAATTATTATTCCTTGAGATTGTTTCTGTCACAAAGGTTAAAAAAAATGGAAAAAAGATAATTTGCAAATATTCACTTTTAAAAAAAATGTTTTAAGACAATTATTATTCCTTGAGATTGTTTCTGTCACAAAGGTTAAAAACAAACTTTTTAGACGTACGTGTTTAAAGTGATGGTGGGGGGTCGAACTAATTAACGAACTTTTGCGTAAGTCGGGGGGGGGGGGGGGGGGGGGGACGGCTTGTTTAAGGAGGGGTATTTAAACCTTTTAAAGAATTGAACATAAAAAACTCTTTTTTTAAAAAGATACTGAATGACACAAACTAAGCTGTTTACAGGGTAATTGATGAAAGTCTGTCTCACCATTTTCTTTTTCCCTCATGAGGATTTTACTTTTCCTTCATGAGGATTTTACTTTTCCTTCATGTGGATTTTATTTTTTTCTTCATGAGGATTTTACTTTTCCTTCATGAGGATTTTACTTTTCCTTCATGAGGATTTTACTTTTCCTTCATGAGGAGTTTACTTTTTCCCTCATGAGGATTTTACTTTTTCCCTCATGAGGATTTTACTTTTCCTTCATGAGGAGTTTACTTTTTCCCTAATGAAAATTTTATTTTTTCCCTCATGAGGATTTTACTTTTTCCCTCATGAGGATTTAACTTTGTTCTCATATTTATATTGTCTTCAATCTTTAAACTTCATGTTATAAATATTTGATTTGATTATTTTTTGATTATATTTTTAATCTAAAGAAACAAAACAAATTATTTGCTGATTACTAGTTACAGAAGTTTAAGTTTATCCTTTACTTTAAAAGTTTATATTTTTCTTTAAACTTTTACAAAACAATGAAAAAAGGACTGTACAGTGTAAAATTGATGAATTATTATTGAATCTATCCCATAAAACATATTTGATCCCCTTAAAATCTTAAAATGAAAAAATCTTAACATCGGGGAGGGGTGGGGGGGGGTTGGGGTTAAAAATTTATATTATTATTTACCTGGAGGGTAAATCTCCCATATACTTGAGGATTGCATGGTAACAGAGACAAGCTTCCTGGGACAATTCATCCTAAAACATATCTATATTTCATTGGAATTCATGGATTAGAGCCTTAGAGGTCAGATTTCATTCATTGGTTGGACTCATTGGAGGTCCGACTGCATTCATTAATTGGAGGTCAGATGTCCTTCATGGAATAGAGGTCAGATGTAATTCATCGATTAGAGGTCAGATGTCATTCATGGATTAGAAGTCAAATGTCATCCGTGGGTTAGAGGTCAGATGCTATCTTTGGATAAGAAGTCAGATGTTATTCATGGATTAGAGGTCATGTGTTATCCATGGATTGAGGTCAGATGTTATCCATGAATTATAAGTCAGATGTTATCCATGAATAATAATAATAATAATAATAATAATAATAATAATAATAATAATATTGTTATGCTGCACCTAGTAATCCCTGATAAACTGAAAATTTTCAAAACCTTTTATGATATTCATCATATTGTAAACGTTTTTAATATTAATTAGGTGGGGATAATACCCAAAACAGCGAAAGCTATCTCCTCCTAATTGCTATAATACATACATAGAGTAAACAATATTATGTGAATATTTATCAATAAACTATATCTTATCTTATCTCTTACCTAAAGTATGAGGCTGTTCCCCAGATTCTACCCCTGGTGTTTGCCCAGTGAACACTCTCTTATTCTGTTCACTAATATCCATTGAGAACAAAGCCTAGAGAAATATTAATTAAACTAGCCTTAGAGGGCGCTTCGCGCCCATCTTCTAAATTAATTGTGAACACATTCTTTTAGTGTACATCGTAAAACAAAACAAAAATAATTCGCGGATTTTCACAAAAATTTCGTGGATTTTCAAAATTTTAACAAATTTAATGGAGATCGAATTTTGATGGAGACAAATATTTGAAATTTTGATCATTCATAAACCTTCCCTGGGGTCCCTAGATGTCCCACAAAAAATTTGGGCCCGATCGGTTCAGCCGTTTTGACGTTTATTGGATACAAACAGACAGACAGACAAGCCAAATTTATATATAGATTAACAAAAATATTTCCAATTTCATCATTAAAAAAAAAATCCTATGAGTCTGGACTCTGGAGTTTAGATTTTGACGGGAGTTAATATAATTCACATAAGAAAGTTGAACTAGTTCTCTAATCTCTGATTTTTCTAAGAAATGAGAATGAGAAAATGTGTTCAACTGATTTGATTCAAGTTGAACTAGTTCTCTAATCTCTGGTTTTTCGAAGAAATGAGAATGAGAAAATGTGTTCAACTGATTTGATTCAAGTTGAACTTAGCACGGGCAGTACATTTGAATTTCCGAGCCGGGTCAACCTTTCCGGTCCCAGTTTGTACTGTTCTTAGCTCAATGGTCAGGACTAGCCGGTGTAACAAGTTTGACGTGAAAAGAGTTTATGCTTCATATTGGTTGAATTTACTATTACTAAAGGGGCAAAGGTGCGTGTAAGATTTAAAACCAGAATAACTCATTCAAACGCAGATTAGTTTAAAAGTCTGATTTAGTTTGAACTTTTTTTCTTGTCTATTAGTAATAATACAATCGTTTACCTAACTAAAGGTATATTTAAATCTTTTACAATGCGAGCTATAGAATATGGAAATAGTAACAGCTGAGAGCGGACAGCTGACAGATAGATAAAGCAAATGACAGGTTTGAAACTTTGATTTGGTTCCAGTGGTTAGATAATCCTACAGTATATGATGAAACAGATTCAAACCTCGAATCAGAGACAAAAGATACCACTGAAATCTATAGTTGTCGAATCTAGCATAGTCATACCAAGAAGAAAATTCGTCTTTCATAATGACCCCACAAATTACCGACCCCACAAAATAACTAACAGTCTGTTCTTCCACTGTAAAAATTTAAAAAAAAATCTTGAATTCGTTTTAATAACCAGAAAAGACATCGGATAAGAATTCCAAAATTATTGTTAAAAAGTTCTGGATGGACAGTTAGAAACTTGGCTTTTAAGCCTAGAGCACTATACGTAGTTATATAGTCTATTATGTCTCTGGCCAACATAGATAGATAGATAGATAATTAGTCGAATAGATGGTTAAATAGATAGATAGATAGACAGTTGACATAGATGTAGGAAGCATGCAGTAGAGAAATTTATTTACTCAGAACCGTGACCATCTGATGATTCAAAGTATTATGTCGGTAAAATAGCTTTATATTCTTAATATCCTGGGATCCCAGCTCTGACTGTTTATACGTCCACTACCTCTAGTTTGAATTTGAGAACCAGGTTAAGAACATTACCGTGGTTCTACTAAATTCCACAATCAAAATTCTTTGGGAAATCGATCCAGGAGTGTTCATTAGTTATGATTCGAACAGACCGACAAACAAATACAGATTACTACAGTGGTATCTGGTAAACTTATATTCCAATATAATAAAGACAACATTTAAGTAAAATTTTGCTTAATTTCCAAATTGTATAAAGGAACAAAGGAAATCTGTGAAGATCAAAAAGATTCCATTTGTTTACATGCAAGCTGGATAGAAAGCAACGCTGCACTATAATGTCGTCTGTATTATATTGCTAAATATGCTTACCACTGCACTTTATGTGTAAATATAAACTTAAGTTAAGATATCAAACTCTTTTTGAGAACAGAAAAAGCAAGTATGAAATTTCTAAGATTTTATTATGTAAGGAATCAAAAGAAAGATTAAAATGGATTGAAAAACAATTTAAGAGCTTTATACGTCAAAACAAAATCTAAACCCGATAAGGCTTTAAATTGATCAAAGATCAATTTGTTGTTATAAAATCAATTGTACGAAAAAGACGAAAGTGCGTATAGAAAAGAAAAATTAAATAAAAACCTAAGAAAGAAAGAAAGATAAGGATATCTATAAAAATAGGAAAATAACTCATATAAACATGAAGAAATGATAAAATCGACCTAGGATTGGGGCCGGGGGTAAACTATCCCTTGGTCTTGAAAGTATAGGACTTGAAGTAAGTATAGGACAGATCTAATTATTATTGACCCAAGAATAATTACCGGGCAGAACTGCCTACAGCTCTACCTACAGTCCCAACAGTTCCAGATACAAACAGATTTAATAAATTGAAATATTATGATAAATATTTTATAATTTCAAACTTCAATGCATATTTGATTTATAATACAATGCAGTGCAAGTTGAAGGAAATATCTGCAATCTTCATTGCATGGAGATTATAGATTATACGTCAACAAGTAACCTAGGCTAGGGTAGTAGTTGAAGAAAATATCTACAATCTACATTGCATGGAGATAACTTTAGGTTTACATGTTTACATATAGGTAACTTTAGGTTTACATGTTGAAAAGATGAAGAAATTAAGATTCTCAATAATTATCGCACACAAGTTCAAAAACATGGTATGAAAGGAGGAAAACGAATTTAAGTCGATGGGGAGGTGAGGGGGGGGGATAACTAATTACTACATCAAATTATACTGTAACAGAATCTAGGGGGGGGGGGGGGTATTATGTTATATACTATATAGAAGTGAAAGTAAGATTTAATCTACAAAGTGGAGATACAAGATCTTAATGTAAAAACGGTTTAATTCATTATATCAGAAATTCTGCAGCAAAGATTCTCAAATATTTTTTTGGAAATCAGCTTAAGAAAAAACAAAAGTTAAAGTCAAATAACTGACTTATTTTGCAGAGGACTAAATTAAAATTTAATAAAGAAGATATTGTTGGTTAGAATAGTTTCCAAACACGACGAAACGAACAAAATAACAGATTTTATTTTAAAGATACATACCAGAATATCTGCTGGAGGTTTGGTTAGACATGGTAGAACATAAACAGTCTCTGCTGGAAAATCTCCCTTCTCATCCGTCCTCTCTACAGTACCAACACACCACCCGGAGTTCTGAACCGTCTCTCCAGTGCTACCCTCCTCCAGGATAAGGAGATCTCCCTTCAGGAAACTGAGGAACGAAGAACCTTCACCTAAACAAACATCAGGGTAATGGAGAATAAAATGATCGAAGGACTGTAGGAGTATGATAAATTATAAATAGAGTTGTAATACAAGAAGAATGAAGTAAGAGAAAGATAAGGAGTAGGAGCAGGATAATGGTCGGATAAGAAGAAGTATGGGTAGAATAAGATGTAGGAGTGAGATAAACGGAAGTGTAATTTCTTTAGGGCACAGAGTTCGCTGATTATAGAACAAGGGTTTGATATTTTTCATATTTTTACTTCACGTCTTCATGAAGAGCCAGGGCTCCTACGCGGAAGACAACGCAGAACCAGTTTCTGATAATTTCTCTGGGTATATAACTAGACTAGGGGTATAGGTGTTCAGTTGAGTAACCAGGAGAATCTATAATGTTGCACCCGGTGCAAACTTTCTATTCAGCTCCCTTCCTTCCGATTTAAATTCAATAAAAATATGAAGAAGGGTGGGCAGGGAAGGGAGTGGGGGAGGGTTGGAAAGGGTGGGTGTCCGTCTCCGTTTGTCTGTTGACGAGCAATTAAGCGATTTCTCGACATTTTCTCCGAATAGAAATGCACAAAAACGGAGTAATTTCGTTGTTAGATACGCTCCAGAGTTTAACACGAAATTCCTGAAATCTAGATTCAAACAAAATGTAATGTGAGCCTCAAAAAAATTATAAAAAAACAAAACATTTTCAAAAACATGAGTCCTTGATGCAATGATAAAGTTTGTTAAATAGAAAGTTTTCTTTAATAAACACAAGATGAAGTTTCGTAGTTTTGAGACTCCCTGTATCTAGGTATACTCAAGAAGTGTGAATATTTCTTGTAATTATAGGGTGTGACAACACTTTCTAATTTATCTTTACTACCAATCCTTCTAACGGTTTAAACCTTTTGCAAAACCTGGAATTTATTGTCTCCTATTAAGGAGATACCATGCATGGTCTCAGTTTACAAAACACTCTCCGCTAAAATCTAATTTTTCCTCTTTCAGTGTACTGCAGACCACGACAGCGTACTGCAGATCACGGCAGTGTACTGCAGATCACGGAATTGTACTGAAGACCACGTCAGTGTACTGCAGATCACGGAATTGTACTGAAGACAACGTCAGTGTACCGCAGATCAGTGTACTGCAGATCACGGAATTGTACTGAAGACCACGTCAGTGTACTGAAGATCACGTCAGTGTACTGCTGATCACGTCAGTGTACTGCAGATCACGTCAGTGTACTGCAGATCACGTCAGTGTACTGCAGACCGCAGCAGTATAACAGTATACAGCACCGATATATTGGTTAAGTGTGAAAACATTAAAGGAGATAAAACTTTTGAGACAAGTTGGCTTTAAACAAAGAAATTTACAGATTTAATTCACAGGTTCAAAAAATATATCCATGAAAGGATTTGTATATTCAAGAAAGGATTCATTTATATCTAGGAAAGGATTGTAATTTCCAGAAAAAGATAGGAAAGGATTCATTCATATCTAGGAAAGTATTTGAATATCCATGAAAGGATTGTTATATCCAGGAAAGAATTCATATATATCAATTTGCTTATACATCAAATACACTTAAGTATTGGTTTAATGTTGTTTTCTGGTTCTAACTGTATGAGATATTCCAGGTTAGCACTTCAATCAATGCTAGTCGCGTAAAGAACCAGCAGAAAAAGCTGTGACTATAGGGTTCAGGTTTGAATTGTAAACGAGAAAAAATGAAAGAATTGTTGGTTCGTATTTGGTCGGGAATTATTGGTGTTTTTATTCCAGTTTTTCCGCGAGTGTATTTGTAACTAGATTTTGCAGGTTTTTGTCTCTCTTCTCTTACAGAGGAGTTATTTAAACACAAGGTTTTTACACTACGTTGTAAATAGGAAACTTTCACTAGCTTTAATACAGCACAGTGGTCAAAACTTCAGCACAGCACAGTGGCCAAACCTTCAATACAGCACAGTGGTCAAACCTTCAACACAGCAAAGGGGTCGAACCAATTCAATACAACACAGTGGTCAAACCTTTAAACAAGCACACTGTTCAAACCTTCAATATAGCACAGTGGTCAATTTTCATTACAGCACAGTGGTCAAACCTTCAATACCGAAAAGTGGTCAAACCTTCAATACAGCACATTGGTAAAACCTTCAATACAGTACAGTGGTCAAACCTTCAACACAGCACAGTGGTCAAAGCTTCAATACAGCCCAGTAGTCAAACCTTTTAACCAGCACATTGGTCAAACACTGAAAACAGCACACATCTTCATTACAGCACAGTGGTCAAACCTCTAACACAGCACAGTGGTCCAACCTTCAATACAACACAGTAGTTAAACCTTTAACACTGCACAGTGGTCAAACCTTCATTATTTACAAGTCGACCCCTTCGTACAGCTTAGTTTTCAAACCAGAACTGAGCTGAGAAATAACATTTTTTTTTGATTATTAATAAAATTCCTCTAAATATAATACCTGGAGCTTTGTAATCCTGAAGAGCAATAACAAACTTGGATCTTTTCTTTAATCCTTCCAGGAAGTAAACAACAAGGTCCCTGGTTTATATACACTTTAGGATCAGATAAACTGCAATGAAAGAGGTAGGGGTGGGGAGGATTAAAAACCTGGTTTATATACACTTTAGGATCAGATAAACTGCAATGAAGGAGGTAGAGGTTTATATACACTTTAGGATCAGATAAACTGCAATGAAAGAGGTAGGGGTATATATACACTTTAGGATCAGATAAACTGCAATGAAAGAGGTATAGGAGTTTATATACACTTTAGGATCGGATAAACTGCAATGAAAGAGGAACGGGTTTATATACACTTTACCATCAGATAAACTGCAATGAAAGAGGAAGGGGTGGGAAGGATTAAAAAAAATTTGACTAAAGGGACTGTAAATGCAGGTGATCCTCCATGTGAAGAGAGCAGTGCCCGATTTACAACGGTACCATTGAAACCTTAGGTTTTCCTGATTTTGATAATATCTTCATTGTTTCTGATAACCAAGCAATTCGTAATTCACTTTTGCGAAGAAACCATAAATTTAATCAAAGCGTTCAAGGGTACCGTTGTAAATAGGGGATCACTTTAATTTACGCGTACAGTCCCTTTAAATAGACAATTTGCGACGTGGGGGTCTAGGAGAGACAGATTTAGAAAAGTGCCTTGAGAAGGTAGGTTTGTAGGAGGGAAATTAATTGGTGGATAGAGGGGGGGGGGGTAGGTAATATCCGGGTTGGTGGAGGAGGGGGTATAATAATTGAACTGCCAGTTTCTATTCCATTAATTAAATATTTGAAATCTGTAAAATTAACCAAAAATGGATGAATTATATATCAAGGCTGTTCAACTATAATTTGAATTATGATACTTTAATTTTACAAAAAACAAGAAATAGCGAAATAAAAATCTGGGATGGATCTAGGATCTAGGATCTAAGATCAAGGACTAGGATCTAGAAATAGGATCTAGGAATAGGATCTAAGATCTAAGATCTAGGATCTAGGATCTAGAATCTAGGAACTAGGATCTAGAATCTAAGATCTAGGATCTAGGATTTAGGATCTAGGATCAAGGATCTAGGATCTAGGATCAAGGTACAAGGGTCTAGGATCAAGAGTCTAGGATCTAGGATCTAGGACCTAGGATCAAGGATCTAGGATCTAGGATCTAGGATCTAGGATCAGGGATCTAGGATCTAGGATCTAGGAACTAGGATCAAGGATCTAGTATCTAGGATCTAGGAACTAGGATCTAGGATCTAGGATCAATGATCAAGGATCAAGGATCTAGGATCTAGCATCTAGGATCTAGGATCTAGGATCAAGGATCTAGATTGTATGAAAGTATATATCCCTGATATCCTCTGAATTCGGAGACTGGAAAGTAAACTCTTCTCCTCTCACTGTGACAAGAGTAAAGGTCTGGGAAAATGCTTTACTGCTCCTGGAGAAATAAACAGATATTATAACAGATATATTTATGTTGATTAAAGTTTTTTTTTCACAATCTCGGATTTTCTAATCCTTATATCTTTGCAACCCTATGTCGTAGACATCAGATATGATAAACTATCAATTTTGTTTTGTTTGTTTAGTTGTTTAAAATATCATAAAGAAACTTAGTTTTTGTCTCAAATTCTGATATTCTGATCCCTTTATCTCTGGAACCCAGTGTTGATTTTTCAATTTTTCTTTAAGATCAAATATTCTAAGTTTGAAATCTCAAAGACTTACACCATCAGGTTGCAAAGAGACGGGGATTAGAAAAATAGAGTTTGTGGCAAAAACTCCATCCCTTTACACAACAAAGTTTCAAAGATATAGGAATTAGAATTTTAAGTTTGTGGCAAATACTCAATTCCTTATTTTTATTGTAATGAAATAAATATGAAAAAAAAGATATACAGGTATTGAATGAACCCTAATGTTCAACAAAACCAGGAACTATGAACCAGGAAAGATTTTGTACAATGTATTTTAAGAAAGGGCTTCCAGAATATCTGGCATGTCTGGATCATTTGTTGTGTCTATTTAGATTTAGAGTAGTAAGAATTAGTTTCTGTTTGTCTGTTTTGTCTGTTTTGTTTGTTTGCTTGTTTGCTCATAAATTATGAATTGGCTGATTTGCTTAAACTTTAATTAGAAAACATAGTTGAACCACGGTTATGTTTCATGTTTGTTTTTAAGATTCCAAGCTGAGTAGACTGAATTTTATGAAAATTTAGTTTCCAATCGGGAATTATACAACGATAGAAACTTGTAAAATAATATTGTTTAATTTCTAGAAAAAATAAATGGTAGGATATCTGCAGAGGACGGATAAATGGTAGGATATCTGCAGAGAACGGAATGGTAGGATATCTGCAGAGAACGAATAAATGGTAGGATATCTGCAGAGGACGGATAAATGGTAGGATATCTGCAGAGAGCGGATGAATGGTGTGGATATCTGCAGAGAGCGGATGAATGGTATGGATATCTGCAGAGAACGGAATGGTATGGATATCTGCAGAGAACGAATAAATGGTTTGGATATCTGCAGAGAGCGGATGAATGGTATGGATATCAGAGAACGGATGAATGGTAGGATATCTGCAGAGAACGGATGAATGGTAGGATATCTGCAGAGAACGGATGAATGGTAGGATATCTGCAGAGAACGGATGAATGGTGTGGATATCTGCAGCGAACGGATGAATGGTATGGACATCTGCAGAGAGCGGATGAATGGTATGGATATCAGAGAACGGATGAATGGTAGGATATCTGCAGAGAACGGATGAATGGTATGGATATCTGCAGATAACAAATGAATGGTATGGATATCTGCGGAGAACAGATGAATAGGATGCATATCTGCAGATAACGGGTGAATTGTAGGATATCTGCAGAGAACCGATGAATGGTATGGATATCTGCAGAGAACGGATGGATAGTATGGATATCTGCAGAGATTGGATGAATGGTATGGATATTTGCAGAGAACGGATGAATAGTATGGATATCTGCAGAGAACGGATGAATGGTATGGATATCTGCAGAGAACGGATGAATGGTATGGATATTTGCAGAGAACGGATGAATAGTATGGATATCTGCAGAGAACGGATGAATGGTATGGATATTTGCAGAGAACGGATGAATAGTAGGATATCTGCAGAGAACGGATGAATGGTATAGATATTTGCAGAGAACGGATGAATAGTATGGATATCTGCAGAGAACGGATGAATGGTATGGATATCTGCAGAGAACGGATGAATTGTATGGATATTTGCAGAGAACGGATGAATATTATGGATATTTGTAGAGTACGGATGAATGGTATGGATATTCACATGAGAACGGATGAATAGTATGGATATTTGTAGAGAACGGATGAATGGTATGAATATCTAAAGAGAACGGATGAATGGTATGGATATCTGCAGAGAACGGATGAATGGTAGGATATCTGCAGAGAACGGATGAATGGTATGGATATTTGCAGAGAACTGATGAATGGTATGGATATTTATAGAGAACGGATGAATAGTATGGATATATGCAGAGAACGAATGAATGGATTGGATATCTGCAAAGAACGAATGAATAGTATGGATATCTACAGAGAACGGCTGGATTGTATGAAGAAAGATAATTTCAGATTAACTTTACCCCTAATACCATGCCTGGGTGTATACAAGGTTAGGAAGGTTAGGAATGCATGTTGCATAAATGTATACGCTCGTTAACAAGAAGGAATGCAACCAGTGGTACACACACAGAGTGTACCAGATAGTGTATACAGAGGTAACCAAAATAAACTGAAAGAACATTATAAAACCAGAAGAAAGGAATGGTGTCTTTGCCACAAACTTAAATTTTATGACAATTTTTTTGTGGTATCTCACATGATCCAGGAAAGGCTTAAAGACAGTAAAAATAAAAAAAATTTACATGGAAATAATATAATTTTTTGGAATGGAAATCAATCACTTCTTACGCTAGCGCCTCAAAAGCCTCATATTCAGTAAAGGAGGGGTTGGGGCTGGTCGAAATTGATAAAAAGTTTTCCAAAAAATAATTGTCGTTTTATTTAACTTTTAGAAATCCATCCATGTAAACAGACAAATCTGATATTTTTGCTTTGTTTCGCGAAGTACAAAATTATACAATATACACTATACAGGGTTGAAAATACTTTACAAGGTTTAAGGATTTCATAACAGTAGTAATATACAATATACACTATACAGGGTTGAACATAATTCTTGATATAATTACAAATTAGAGAAAGTTGTTTTCAATCTACAGTGATTGAAGTTTATACACAGAGGCTCAATGCGGTTATAATGAAAGACAGGGGGAGAAATGGGGGGGGGGGCAAAC